ACGCCCTCCGGGAACCTCCCCAGAAGCGTCTCGACCAGGTCCGCCACGACCTGCTGAAACGCAGCTGGATTCGTCCTGAAGGCCGTTGGCAGGGCTGCCACGATCCTGTAGCGCCCAGACGTCGGCATGTCATCGTGAATGTCGCGGGGGTTTGCGTCAGCGAATCTCTTTGTGCGCACGTTCATGAGCCGCCGCCCAGGGATCAGCAGGCCGCTCTCTGGTGCGCCCGAGGGGGTGTTTTCTTGTTTGGCGACGAGGAGGCCCTCGCGGTACTGGATACCGCATCCGCTCGTAAAGCCGCTGCCGGTGCTAAACACCTTGACGAACTGCTCGTGTGTGAGGCCTGTCTCGGCGCCAATCTTTCCAGAGAACATGCTGGAGAACTCGGTGTCGAAGGCGATCAACTGCCGGGCGATGTCGAGGCGCTCATGCTCGTATGTAGCGATCAGATCCGCGCTCGCTGGAGAGAGCCCGTTTAGGACGTGTGCGAGCTTCCAGGAGAGGTTGAAGCCGTCCATCATGGAAACATTCATTCCTTGGCCTGCCTTTGGGGAATGTGTGTGACATGCGTCGCCGGCGATGTGGACACGGAGGACGCTATTCTTGTCTGCGGTGGAGAACTGGGTGGTTGCACGCTGGCCGATCTGGTAGGCGGCCCACCAGTCGACGTCGGCAAAGCTGATTGTGTAAGGGGCGAGGACCTTTTGGCTCTGCGAGATGATGCGCTCGAGCGTCACCTTCTCTCGGCGCTTTTTGGCCTGTTGTTTGGCGGCGGCGGGATCGGCGGTGGAAGGGGCGGCGATGGTCGGGTCACGCTCGACTTCGTCTTCCATTTGGCAGTAGATGCGGGTCAGGACCTTGTTTCCGGAGATGCGCTCACGGGGGATGATCATGATGGACCCTGTGCTGGAGTGCTGCAGGGGTGAGATGCGTAAGTAGGTCATTTTTGAGGAATCTAGAATCTAGGGGGAATAACTGGTAGACTTACAATTGCACATCTTTTCCTAATGTCTGGGAAGTCTGTCTTGACGACAGCATCCATTACACCCCTATAATTCACGGATGGTTAGTTGGTAAATGATATATGCCACTTATGTGAGGTGGGTAACCTACCAGACATGATCTGTATGATCACCGACAAGCTTCAACCCCATACCATCTCTAACAGTACTATGTGCGCCGTCCGCGCCGACCAAGTACTTTGCCCGAACCACTCGCTCCGTGTCCTGCCCGCTCATCTTGACAACCACCGGGAACTCCTCATCCTCGTAGTCAAACTCCCATCCTAGTACTTTCCACCCCCTCTGTACTCTATTCCCATTCTTCTCCAGATCCTCATTAAGAATTCTCTCAATCCTGCCCTGGTGTATCGTGACCTCATGCGGGTACCTCGCCGGCACCGCAACATCAGGCACAAACGCAGTCCTGACAATCCCGGTTCCGTCCTCCGTAGGATTCCAGAAGCCGACCTCATGCATCTGGCACCCCTGCGTCAGGACCTCGTGGGCAAGATCTAGCGACTGCAGGACCTCCAACGTCCGTGGCTGGATACCGTCTGCTTGGCCGGCATGGATCTGCGCCGTCTTCTCGTCGACTGTAAGAACGCTTGTTATTCCGTAGCGTGCGAGGCAGACGGAGGTCATGATTCCTGCTGGCCCACTGTTTGGAGGTCAGAATGAATTGCCTGGTACGTACGGGCCTGGGGGAAGCTCACGATCCGACAATGATGACTTCATAACGCTCGATTGTGTCCTCTGCTGTGGGGCGGGCTGGAGGAGCTGGGGAAAGACGTGGGAGAGGGTTGAGGTGCGCTGGGTTGACACGGGTGTCTCGCCCTTCACCGGCTTGTTCTACAAAGACTGGCATTATATTATCGTGATATATGTATTTTGGTGCTGCTGGTTCAATCACTCCTGCAATTGCTGCGGGTTCTTGGGAGTGATAGAAGAGGAACAGGTCCGATATTTGAATTTATATAACTTCAACCAAGACCCACAGCACTATATTCACAAGTCGCTTAGTCGGCGCCTCGGCAACCTCCCAAATTTTCGAAACAACTCTCGGCTTCCTGCCTTAGATGGATGATGGATGGATATTGAAGTGCTTTAGAAGTGATGATATATGATTATCTCGCCATTGGTAATGAGTAGATGAACCAGGCAGCGGGCCAAAAGTGCGGGGGTTGCAGGGGTCGCCCGCAGATTAGCGCAGGTTAGCTCTCCATGATCAAGAATTCGTAAGAATTAGTTAGTACATGGACCGGAGGAGGCCTCTATGTACGGAGCTGAGATAGCGGATCGTAATCGTTGGAAAGCAGCGTGCGGCGGTTGGTCGGCGTGGTGTGGGTGGTGTGGGTGGCTTTCAGGCTTTACCACCACTGGGGATCTAGCCGAGGTTGTTCTAGATCTTGTTTGACAGCCATGACAGCCAGCCAACCAAACCCTGGGCCCCTGATCTGCTGAGTGAGGATATGCACGCTTTTGATTGGCTTGCATGACTGGTTACTGTGCCGGGCAATGTCATGGAATGTCACTCGATAATACAGTGCTTCCCCTTCATTCTCGGGTTCCAGTTCTGAGTGTCGTACTTCTCGCACGCCGAGATTCCTCCTCTGTTTTAACTTCTAGGTATGGTGTGTGCCTGTCTGTGGATCGGATCGATATCCCGAGAAGTGTAATAATTTGCTCCCCCTTCGTCTGTCGATTCTGCCCACCCCATAATAGAGGGTCGTAATTTTGGTGAAAGACCCCTTTATAGTGGTTATCGTTTCTCACTCTCGTGCTTTAATTTCCCTATCCCCGCAGTTGAAAATAAAAATAATAAAATAAACTAAAAAAATGAGCTTCGGTGGGATTTCAAACCCCGACCCCCTTCCTATTTGGCACGTCCTACTGATACCCAGGCGCATGCCACTATGATAGGGAAACTTCTGGTAGAATGGATGCTAGAATGAATGTAAAGCCTTACCCACCAGACACCATCGGTTGATAAAAATAAAGAGGTCTGTGTGTAGAGGCCATACTTTCTTGGCACCAACTTTAGGGTGGGCAGTATTTTTCGAGAGATATCCCACACTCCCCAAAAGATCTTCCGAGAGTGTCTACGGTTCTATAACCCGTTTAACGCTCGAGTACCTACAGCAGCGCCCCCGTCCATGAACGAATAGTCGCCTCGCAATTACATCTTGGCCAGAGGCGTTGGACAGCGTGTGTTCTCATTCGTCAACGAATCAAAAGATGATGAGGGCCTTTCATTGCTCTAATAACTTCTCAATCGACCGGAACCGAGAAAAGATCTAGACTACAGGCCGCTCAATGCAGACAACGAGTCTATAATCAGTACAGTTCTCCAGGCGGTAGGCCGTTTGAATAGAGCCCACATACATGCCATTATTGATCCCTGGAGAACGAATACCTCTCAATCAATAATGGTCCATTCGGAACCATGGCCCGGTAAGAGAAGTCATGACCTTTAGACTTATTACAGCCTAGCGAAATCAAGGCTACTCGAATTCGTCTTGAGGGTCGTTTCCTCATCCTAGAGTGGGCTTCGCTCAGCCTGCTGAAACTATTCAGACTCGAACCAAAACCAAGCTCACCATGCACCTTGTCGATTGAGACTAATAATGACACTCAGTCAGCTGAAGGAGAGAGTATGTGGACCTTTGTGTTGAGAGGGTACCTGTCCTGTGCTGTGGAAATAGTTGACTAGATTTCACCCTTCACGTCTGCACAACGGGGAACGAGTGCGCAGCAAAGGTCTGGGAACGAAGCTACAGCGCTGTTTTGAATGCTGTAGTGCAGAATTCTCGGCTAGGTGTCAGGACACATCTGAATGGCCGCGTAGTAGTTAAGAGCTAGAGGCAAGGCAGATATGTTAAGCACAGCCTATAGGATAGTGGCCGTTACTGAAAACCATACATAGTAGCCATTATACAATCAGAGAAAGAGCCAAATCGATAAAGTTAACCATATCATGATCGATAGACGATCGAATCAGAACATGAAGATATCGAAAACGCCTAGGATATTAGTCTCCCAGAACCGGCTTGCTGCGTGGGCCAGTCCCAAGTGCTCCTGACTTCCCCACCAACTGACTTACTGCAGACCAGTATCAAATTCAAACCAGAAATGCAGCTTTTCAAACGGGCCTGCCTTGCCACAGGTACAAGTCATGAATTAACAACAACATGTGGAAGTCAAATATCGAGTGATATATCATGATGAAATCTCAGACCTACCGAAGACGTGACTCCCCACGTCTTTCTATCGGAAGAATACTCAGGATTGATATTCAGAAGACTATACTTGACAGGACAGGGGACTAGACTAAAGGAAGCTCAGGGTGGCGAGGCGTCTCGACGCGCTGGGCTGGAACGGGAGAGATCGCGTTACGCTAGGTGCGTAACTTCATAAGGGTAGCCGGGCCCCGAAAAGAAACTAAATATGGTGAGCACCAGCGCTATCTTAAACAAAGTCCAAGTTGTGCTGGGACTTTTGGTGAAGTCCAGGCTGCGTGGTTGACTACGCATGCGCAAATCAAACCATAATGAAGAGTGAAGAGAGGACGGGAGATCTAGAGAGGGAGAGGAACCACGCCAGGCCGGGAAGAAACAAAAGAAAGAGAAGTTAGGTCGAAGAAATTTCAAATATCAGCGTGTTGTTGAACATAAATGTGCTAATAGGTGGAACAAAGGCTCTGGGCTGCAATGATTATATGATCATCGGTGATCACTCGTCCGCACTTAGGCCTTGGCTTCGACACGACTGCATCATGGGAAGTCACGAACCATTATGTACATACATGTACTTCTCCGAACAATTCTATCAAGGGAAAAAAATCTTCCCTCAAAAAAAAAATGACACCCATACTCCTTACTATAGATACACCAACCCCTCAATATCGATCCAAAGCACATTACCGCAACATATTGGTTACATGTAGTGCATACCCAGAACCACACAAGCCTCTCAAAAACTCGTAAATACGAGTGAGAGCCCATGCGTCCGTCACTCACCTCCTTCTCAGGCGAAACACCTCGCTACCGAGCTCTAAATTATCAGCAGGCCACCGCCACAAGCGATCAAATCACCCACCGCCGCCTCGTGCCCCGGAAGGCATGCGGCACAGATGCTCCACTGCATCCGGCCACTGTATCGATCGCGCTATATTCCTTATAATACTTTCTAGAAGGCGAGTGAGGAAGGATCTCTACCTACGCCATAGGTACCTCCCAGCCATTGTTGTAGGCACGAAATACCTAGAATGAAACTCATCTAGGATTCTTCGGAGGAAATTAAACAATGCTGCTATTCATATCCGTCTTGGCAGGCATCGGCCGGGATCTCAAGCGAGTGCGGGCGGGCCGGGGTACAGGGGTAGGGAGCTAGGGGCCACCGAGTGAGGCTCAGCCTTCCCATTTAACCTTTTTACCCTGTTTGTGCACCTTCTCCTTCCAACAACCATGGGAATCACACCTTGCCGGTGGGTGGGGTTTGTTAGGTAAACACTTTACATTTAGGATGCTGACAGCAGGAAGTAGACCAAGCACATACAGTACCTACAGACCGGATTAACCGCACTGATGGAGAGAACGTACGGCTTTGAGTGGAGACACCGGGGAAAGGTACGTGTGCCGTCGGTGTTTTACCTGGATGTGAATGGTGCCTAGCTAATTGGAGGTATGAGGGCCCAGGTTTGTTCGCCGTGACATGACTTGTGCAATTGGGCAATTTCGCGGCGATAACAACTATCATGAACAGTAGTTCTTCACGAGAAAAGATACTGGCACGATAAAATTAAGTACTTGGTGTATCTAAATACAATCAACGTGCTTGGTTCACCTCATGAAGAATCGAAAACAATCCCACTATTCCGTGTGGGGTTCACAATGGAAACGATACGAAGTAATCCACGGCACCACCGAAGCTGACAATTTGATCAATGATAAGTTCATGCCATGTTATTACAGCGTTTCTATGGGCGCAGTAATCTTGTACCTCTCACAGTCAGTATTATTTGTGGTGTGGCGTTCGTGTGGTACAGCACTCTGTGCCTGGCAAAGATCTGCTCCACGCCGCAACACCACAACCTCACCGGGCCCGAATAGAGATACATTCCATCTCAAACTCCGGAAGCAATATACGGTAAAGAGGTTAAACATGTTACTCAAAATGGTTTATATACGACCTTCAACTCCCCGAATCCAACTTCTTTTTTTCCCATCCTCACTCACTTCTACATTCACTTCATCACTCACTCGTTCCGGCAACGATTACTTCCTTTCCTTTTTCATTTCCTTCTTTACTTTCCAGTCACTCCTTTAGTCACTCTTTATTACAATTCTGAGCTGTGCTTGGTTTATTTCTGTCTTTTCTACTATACACGTTTTTTTCTCACGATCTTTCAGCTCCACCAACCACTACTTTTAAACTTTTAAAACCCTTTTCATACCACTAAATCAATCAAAATGAAGTTCACTGCCGCCACCGCCGCCATGGTCATTGCCTTCTGCGCCACCCAGGTCGTAGCCACTCCCACTCCCTCCATGCGATTCCGCCCCGATGTGATGCGCAAGGCCACTGGTGAGGAGAAGCACCCTTACATCATCCCCCAGGCCGTCCTTGCCAACATGGACCTCAAGCGCTGCTTGGCCGAGTGGGACGCACCCAACAACAAGAACAGCACCAAGCCCGACCAGAACGCCGACAAGGTCATGCAGCAACTCCAGAAGGCCTTCAAGGACGCCAAGTACACCCACATCAACATCAAGGCCGAGCCAAAGCGCAATAACAAGGCCTTCGTCCGCAAGATCGAGAAGTACATCGAGACCCTCAAGAAGGTCGTTGAGAACGCCAAGAAGAACTCAAACAACAAGAGATCTCTCGATGCCCCTGCTGACGAGTCTGTTGACGCTCCCGCCGATGAGTACGCCGGAGAGGCTCCTGCCGATGAGTTTGTTGGAGAGGCTCCTGCCGACGAGTCAGCTGGCGAGGCCCCCGCAGATGAGTTTGTTGGCGAGGCACCTGCCGATGAGTTTGTAGGAGAGGCCCCAGCAGATGAGTCTGCGGGCGAGGCACCAGCTGATGAGTACGCCGGAGAGGCACCAGCTGATGAGTCCGCTGGCGAAGCCCCAGCTGATGAGTTCGCCGGAGAGGCCCCAGCAGATGAGTCTGCGGGCGAGGCACCAGCCGATGAGTTTGTCGGAGAAGCCCCAGCTGATGAGTCCGCCGGAGAGGCACCAGCCGATGAGTTCGTCGGAGAAGCACCAGCCGATGAGTCCGCCGGAGAGGCTCCAGCTGATGAGTTTGTTGGCGAGGCCCCAGCCGATGAGTCCGCTGGCGAGGCCCCCGCAGATGAGTTCGTCGGAGAGGCTCCAGCTGATGAGTCTGCCGGCGAGGCACCAGCCGATGAGTTCGTCGGAGAGGCTCCAGCTGATGAGTCTGCCGGCGAGGCCCCCGCCGATGAGTATGTCGACGCCCCAGCCGATGAGTCTGTCGACGCCCCTGCCGATGAGTCTGTCGACGCCCCAGCCGACGAGTCAACCGATGCTCCTGCCGATGAGGAGGCCCCCGCCGACGAGGTGGCACCAATCTACAAGCGCGATGTCAAGATCCAGGGTGGCTGCAAGAGGCCCGAGGATGTCCTTGTTGCCCTCCTCCAAGTCGAGCTCAAGCAGGGACCTGGCCGCTTCGGTGGTCCCATGGGCCCCCGCCGCAAGGCTCCCCGCTACCGTGGTCCTCGCTTCCCTTCTTGGTGGTAAAGGGTTTTTGGTAGATAGTTTATGATTTTCATTTGTCTCTGGGTTTTTATTGGGTTCTCTTTTTTTGTAGCATGGGAAATGGTTTTTGCATAGGAAAGGGGGGGATGGAACCGGTAGATGTAGAATGATGGTTACGAATTTATTTAAAAGTGTGTCAAAAAACTTAGTCTTGTTCGAATTCTCTGGTGATTTGGTGATTTTTAAAAAGTGACTTGAATACCTTACTCATGGGATCTCACTCGGACCATCTGAGCTAGTCCTAAACGGGGCATCTACTAAGATTCTCTCAGTGACTTATAATTTGTTTTCTTCTTTCTCTTTTTCTTTTGAGCTGCGAAGGGGATAATGAAAGATGATAATATCAATAAATTCTAGATTCCTTCTACACCGGGAATCCCTCAAGGACTTACCCATAGATACTTTCTTATTTTACACCGGTACCTCCAACACCGGACGTGGACTTTAATTCCACAAGGCAAATATTACACGTAGTCTTGTCCGTTGCCCATGTATCCCAGCTACCAGTTATAATAGCCAATTGAAGGAACATATGTCCTAAGTATTCATCACATATGCACATTACTTGACAGATTAATAGAAGCTAGGCTTATTAGGCTCGGTATCGTATTCCTCGAGCTATTCTATTTACGAATATGTAAATTCCTGAATCCAGAGAAGATATGTTTGTCCCGGAGATTAGTCTATCAGTACACTGTTCCCAAGGATATACCTATGTGAGGAAAGTGGAAGCTGCCGGTTTCTATTATCTTCATGCGTCCTGTCAATTGTCTTTTATAAAGTTGTTCCGTGCTGGTGGGGGTGAGATGGCCTAATATAAGAGTGGAATGTGGGCTCGATGAGTGGGTAGATATGTTGTCATCCTATATGTTGAGACGACAAATTGGATGTTGGAAATATTCTGCTTTGGCCGAGGGGATTTGAGTGTGGGTGTCGGTAGAGGTTTGGTTATGCACTAAGTACATGTAGTTAGCGTGTTCGTGCCGTGTTATGGATGTGAAAGGGTACTTTGGAGGGTCCGTGATAGTCCTAAAAAGAAAGCGGGACGAGGCGGGTAAGTGAGCAAACATTACCCTCTGTAGCCTCTCATATGCGGCTATAGATGAGCTTACCATCGCTTTACTTCTGGGTAATGTCTTGTGGGAAATCTACTTCATTATAACAACTAATAACCTTGTTGGGTTTACTATAACGCTGCTTCCGGGGACCTTATGGGAAATCTGTTCTATGGCAGCACAGCTTTTGACTACTTGGTACTCCTTTGGGAATTTGTGAATGGACAGGCTTCATAATTACAGGTGAAGACATGAGTAAGGGAAGAGATAAATGTCCGGGCATATACATTGCATGCTGCTTATAGATGGACAGAGTGTACCAGTGTCTGGGCTACAATCATAACTACTTCAGTCTCTCACCTGATTGAATTATATTACTGGTATATTTCCTCACGGCGGCAGCAGACGTCACTCATATGATCATGGAACCACCCAACAAACGGATCGAAGACGAAATAAAATTCACAGATGCGATTTAAGGTTCAAATGGGCAAAGACATTCAGAAAAACAGAACTCAAACAGCAAGAAGTTAACGTTTTTCCATAGACTTCTTACATACAAGAAACAGAAAATTTATGGGCACGATGGCCCCACTCCGCACACCGGCACCGATGTATTCGGACAAGTGCGTTTAATCCCTCCATACTTCTGTGGAGACAATTATATCATGTCTCAGGTTCTCCTCCTTCTATGCCTCAGGTTCTCCTTCTATGCCTGGGATCTCTCTATCCCCTCAGCATCATTGAGGCTTGCAGTACACTCGCCCTACAAGAAGGGAGGCAGCGGAATGCATTAACACATTGTCTTCTGTTTCCTAGATAAAGTAAATACTCAGTCTCTACTTCCATAATGCGGATATCACAGAAACTTACTGTACCAGAAATCGAATATTGGTCGGGGCTTTTTCCCCCCCTGGGACTGGGTGGATTGTGAGGGCGAGTGGGACCCAGACAGATAAGTGCCTGCTGGAGTCCAGGCGCATATCATACCGCACTGACATTTTTGCGCCCTGACAACCGCTCGTCTGTTGATTTACCTCTTGCACGTGGATTATTAGACCCAGTGGAGTTGCCTGCAGAGCCATCTGGGTTTCTTCTGGAGCTGGTGCTCAACTCGGTGCCTATAGCACTAACAGGCTTACAGTACGCTCGCCCTACAAGAATTGGGGCGGGGCACAGCAAGAAGGCCGTAAGGCTTTCAGCTACTGGTGCAGAGGGCATGAGAGGTCCCAGTCGCTTTGAGGCCCAGCACCGGAAGATGACTTCGCGACACCAGATCCTCTCAATCCCTCCACCATGATATCGATCGCCTGGCAGCTGTTGAGGTACAGGGAAAATACCCATGATTCCAGGTTAGCTGAGAGAAGAATGATAGGGTTTTAGAGAAACACCATGCTTTTTAAAGGGGATCTTACAAGGTTACAAGGCGTGCAGTACAGTTGCCCTATGAGAATTCTAAGTACCAGGCGACGAGAGAATATCCGGGAGCCCCCCGGAGGGCACAATCAGTGGGCTGCGTTTAAAAGTCAGAATTTATACCATAGATACGTAAACTAACGGTGCACAGCGAATGAGGGATAACTTACAGTCTTGGAAGCCAGTTCCACCTCTGATGGCAAGAATATTGAGAGACCCCCCAACATCGAAAGACTGAGCAGCGCCCATCCACGAAAGGGTATCTGGGGCCCGGGTGGACACCATCAATGGGCTACGTTTGAAAGTTAGAATTTATGGACTAGATACGTAAACTAACGGTGCACAGCTAATGAGAGATAACTTACAGCCTTGGTAGCCAGTTATCACCAATGATGGCAAGCACATTGAAAAACTCCAGCCTATGATAGTCAGGACAGCGAGAAGCGGAAACTTGACCAAGGGACTCGCCACCAAAGGTGATCGAGACTAAACCCCCGGCGGATTCTGTCGTGATTTGACTTTCACGATGGGAATCTCGGCTTTGGCAGACGAGTTCGAAATAAAGAGAAAAGAAAGCGGTTCAGTATCCGCACTGTAGAAGGATGGCTGACCCGATGGTCGAATAAGTTGTTGGCTCGAACTGAGCGTTCAAACACATAGAGGCTTGAATGGAACTATGAAGATGAGGTTTAGACGGAGCTGGAGCAATCTTCTGGCTTTTAAGGGTTGTGAACGAAGGGGGTTACATAAGTTAAGCTACCTAGCTTTGGCTTACGCTACCATAGCTCATAATCTTGGCTGGCATATGCGGGAGGGGGTCTATGTGTGTACATGTAATCTTCCCGCCTCATTTGCAGATGGCACCTGATATGGTGCTACGGGCCGGTATTTGTCATGGATTATCACTCGAGTTTTTCGCAGCAAACGGACCATCGAATTAGATTGTCTCAATCCTCTGACAAGTACCGACTCTTGGCCAAGTTCTATTATACGCAGTTTTGATATTTGATTACTGGGGTATGGGGGGTTTCCGAGTGGCTGTCCTTCAATTAACCCTGGCGAGGATCAATTCCTAACTGAGCAGCTACAGAATGACGTAGGATACAGGATAAGAATGTTGCGCGAAATCAACTCTCAACGCCCAACGACACATCAGAGAATGCATAGTATTCATCCAAACAGAGAAGGCGTGGTTTGCACACTTGTTTATTCCTAGCAGACGAGTAAACACAGAAATCCAAGAACTTGGTGTCTCCCGCAAGTTTGGACAAAAATCGAAGAGTCTAACGGACGCTCTTGACAAGCCTCTCACAACTCTCAATAGCTGGGCAAGGCCAGAGGGTTTCTCATAGATTCTCACTCGGCTGCTTTCTGGAGTGCTGATACCACATCAATCTCACACATGACCACACGCAAATCAAGTACCAATCTACAAATTATTAAACCAGCCCTATGTCAGCCGATCGCCGTGAAACGAAATTAAGCCACCACTGAGTCCAATCCTGACACTAGAAACCGAAGGCTTCTGGAACAGTGTGTGGGGTGGAGGCTCTTTTCGGGGGGAAATTAGGTTTGGGCTTAGGGACGGACGGCGATAAGCGAGAGAGAAGCTTTTCTGCTGCGCGGGATCTTGGCATCGAAGCTTGCGCCCCAAACCTAAATGGCTACTAAACTCTAGACTCTCTCTATTCACTGGATTAAGTTGAAGAGAATTTTGTGGGGTTTTGATAGATCCTGAGTGTAACAAGGCACAAACCTCTACTATTTGCTTTGGTTGGGCGGTAGTTGTTTCCCGTGTACACGGATGTCTCCCTTGACCCGGTCTCCGTGGGATATCCTTATGAGAAAAATATTAACAAACCCGCGGAATTAAGGTACCGTGATATGGAACCGTTTTCGCGACCCAGCGCACCCCTCACCCTGCACTCGAGTGACTGTTCATGAAGTGACCAAAGCACATGCCAACCAGAAAAGAAAGCGACACGAGCGTGCACCCACTACTCTACACCAACCATGCAGCCTGTGTTGATTTGAGACAAGACTGCGTGTGTAAGCACGGTAGAGTAGAGGACACCTATCATCAAGAAAGTTTTATGCAGGTGCAGCTGCAGTTTTTTTCTCTCCCACACACTCTGGCGGCGTACATATGTCGTTAGTGGTGCTGACGCGTTGAGGATGGTGGGCCTGATCTGATGTGGATGTAAACTTGACAGCGAGTGATCTAGAGTGATGCCAAGAGAGGTCTTGATAATATCTCGAAGGTTCGGAGGCGGAGTGTTTTTGCGAGTGTAGTTTTTATCGTTCAGAAAAGGAGCCACTTGGCACCGTTGATGCGCTCAGATGTAGAGGCCCCTGTGACAATTAAACTTGAGGGGAATTTGAGACGAGTTACATATCTGTAGAGGTACCTAAATGTAGCTTAAGTTTGGAGGGGCTCAAACAAAGATTACGCGAATGAGACCTTCGGTAAGCGAGATTATGATTTTCACGTCGCTCCACGATGTTCACGATACTGTCGATACCGTCGATACTGCTTGAGAATAGAGGATGAGGAAGATGTTCTTATCTACATACCTAGCTGCGTTGCCAGATTAGATAAAGGTTACTAAGGGGATTATTTTTAGCGCTGTATCGAGAGCTTTTTGAGGCGAGGTCGTCGTCTTGCACAAGGCCCCGCAGACTAGGCCGCATGTGGCTGGAAAGAGGTCTGTTCCTGGTTGGAGGGGAGGAAACGTCACCGTGGCTTCTTTGTAATTCTTTTCTTTTCCAAACGGGGAACGGATGGGAGAGAGAGAGAGCAAAAAAAGCTGTTTTGCTCTGTTTTCATGCTAGAGGAGCCTATGGAAGCTGAATTGGTGTCTGTAGAGTGATATGATAATGTGAGAGGGTAGAGCTTATGTGGTCATCGTTTTCGTTTACCAAGATGTCGGTTTGTATCGATTAATTGTCTGCTGAGTTGCTCGCGTGGGAGTCCATTTAGCTAATTCGCTTCCCTTCTTGCTCTTCACAAGGGTGCCGTCCAAGTGTGAGTTTCTCTCTCGGCTGATCAGTGTGACGACATCCCTTTCCGGATTTCCCAGCCCTCTTCAAACCTCCTTCCTTCCCTCTCTTTTTTTTCATCATCATCTTCTCTTCTCTCCATCATCCATCCCATCATCACTTTACTCTTCTAGAGCTGCTACACGTAGAAACAACAAACCAGCATCTCCTTCACAGTAACAAGCTTACGAACTCTCTAAAAGTAAACATTGCCCATATCTAGAAACAATGGCACCACCCGCTGTTGTCCCCTCCGAACCTCTTCCGCAACGCCTGATGGCGCTTGCACAAACACTTCAATTTGGCTGGTTTGTCGGGTGAGTAACTCTTGGGTGCCCGTTTTCTGTACGATGGAGTCTTTGCTTACATTCAGAGGACGAAATCAGTCATTTGACGTTGCTCCTGACAACTTTCCGTTATGCGGTCGCGGCTGTCAAGTTCTCAACAAGCACAACGGGAGCTTCTATTGCATACCGTGTCGGATTTTTGTCCGCGGCCGTTACTTACGGTATCGTCGTTTACAAGGCATACAGGACAAGAATGAGGAGTGGTCAACTCCCCACTGGCCAGCAGGGAGCAGTGCAAATCCTCTCTGACGAGAATGTGCAATATTTGTGTAAGTTGTCAATCTTTTGTTTTTTCACCGGGAGAGAAGGAAAGAAAAGAAAAAAAGAGGGATTTTTTTTTTTTTTTTTAGAAAGTATGACGTGAAAATTTGCGTGTATAAATGCTTACTTGTCCAAATGCAGTCATGGCTCTTGTATGGCTCTACTCTAAGCCAATCTTTTTCGCGCTTCTCCCGTTCGCTGTTTACAGCACCTTCCACTTCTTGACCTACCTCCGAACAAACCTCATCCCGGTTGTCATTCCTTCACCTGCCACGCCCGCCGGTACTAAGGCACCTGCGCCCGCCGTTTCTGAGGCTATTGCCAAGTTTGTCAGGAACAACTACGACTACTCTATGCACCTTGTTGCCAACCTCGAGCTCTTCTTGTGGCTCCGTATCCTTGCTGGTGCCATCATCTTCAAGAACTCATGGATCCTTCTCGCCATCTACACTGCTTTCCTCCGTGTCCGCTTTGCTCAGAGCGGTTTTGTCAAGGATGCTGTTAAGGGACTCGAGAGAAGGGGTGATGCCATCACAGCCGATGCCGGTGTTCCCGAGGGTGTCAGATCTGCATGGGCAATTGTCAAGACCGGTGTCAAGAGCTTTGGCGATGTTTCGGACTTGAGCAAGTTCATGTCTGCTCCTCCTGCCACCGACGGCGCTGCCAGAAAGACCCAGTAAATACCGAATAATATCTGAAAGCAGGGCGATTGTGGTGCTGAAGTAGGGCGATTCGGACGATTGAGGAGGGTGGATAGATGCTAGTTTGGCGAGAAGGGAAAAGAGAAGTAACACAAATATACTTTTTCCTTTCAGTCTCTTTTTCATACGCGAAATGGATCTTTTTTTTGTTTTGCGCATACTTTCTACGATTTACATTGGATGTGGTGTTTTTTTTGCATTTCACATTTCTGAACTTAGGTTTGGTGTTTGTGGAGTGGAGAAAAAATATTTGGAATTCGAATAGTAGTAGTTAGTCACCCATTGTACTGATTGACTTTCTAATGTATTTGGAGTACTTTTTTATCTTGATAATTGACAGCCCTAGCGATCATTCATCCCATCGATCTCGCGCACCGCATGGTTCTTCCTAGTGCGTGGGCTGTTGCTGTACCGTGACGTCCTAATCCCAGTGCGAGGGGGAAAGACATCTCGCTAAGTGAACTAGCTCCCGCGTGAGATGGGCGTGGGGTACATACAATACATGGCCCGGGTACATGTGCAGCTCAGGGACATATCCTTCTGTGCTTTCTTTTGCCGTGTTTTGTTTCAGCAGATCAGATCAGTAGGTGTCTTGGAGGTTGACGCTGGGCCGTCGAGTGATTGACCATGAGCTACTAGAGCACCAGTTTAGTGCATTTGAGCTCGCATTAGCTCCAGGGACAGCTCATGTGACTTGAGCTGGGGGCTGCTCTGGGGTGGAATAATATTAATGTAGATCACGGGTCTGGGTATCGTGGAGTACAGCCCAGGGTAATGGGTGAAGGTGAAAGGGTCCTGTGACGGAATTTGTTTTGTTTCGAGGGTGGGTTGTTTATTTAGCCAGTTGCCCCTGTTTCAAGATCAGGTCCCGCGGACTGGGTATCTGTTTGGGTGTTTGGGTAGAGGAGAGTTGATATTTCTGTCTGTGGCTGATTGGTTGAAGGTCTTGTAAGAAGCTGTTCTTTGTTTACTGTCTTAGGGCTCTAATTCTGTAATACTGTCGCTACCTTCAGCAGAAGCTTGGTTATGCAGTATGGGACAAAGGCATCTAAATTATGAAGTAGGTCTTGTCAAACAACACGTCCTAATCAAAATCAATAGGCAGAAGTACAAACCACAGATCGATCCCGTATATGGCTATCCTCTCAATATCATCTTTCTGTGATAATAGTGACTCGAACCTGAAATCGAAACACCGCTGCACAGCTGTACCACCACCACCGCCTCTGATCCCTTCCTTTTATAGCCCTGCTCCCACCCGTGACGTCGATACCGCCATTGTCTCGGCACGCCTTCACAACCTCGGGTTCCAAGGCCCTAGAGTACTCCCCCCCAGCCTCCGTATCTCCACCCCCGCAAACGCACCCCGCAGCCGGGCCCGGGCCATTACCGAGCCCCGGATTTTTCGCAGGTAGTCTGTATGCACACCTAACCCTGCGTATCTGTGTCTGCGGTTCACCCTCGGGCTGAGGGTTTTTGGGGGGTCTGGGTGTCCCGTACGTCCGGCCAGCCAATTGGGAGTTGGGAGCTATAGGTGCTGTGTTATTGGGGGGAGGGGCATCTATCTGGGTTGCAGTGATAGATCTGCATGCAGTACTGTGCAGCACTTGCTCTGCAGTGGATAGATACCTGCTGCTGATAATACTATATAAAAGCCCGTAGAACAGCCTCTCTCTACCCAATTGAACTCCCTAACTTCCAGCTATCTCTCCACTCACCCCCCCCCAACCCCCCCAATACCAAAAAATGCCCGCCGACCCGCAAGCCCTCGCCCACACGCAATCCCTCGCCTCCCCCAGCACCTTCTGGCACACCCACGGCCAGCAACTGCACTGGTCCACGCCGTACACCACGCCCCTCCACCACGACACCGCCACCTCCACATGGGCCTGGTTCCCCGGCGGCAAGATCTCGGCGACCTATAACCTCGTCACGCGGCACGTGCTTGCGGGCAATGGCGGGCGGGCGGCGATTATTTGGGACTCGCCCGTGACGGGCATGAAGAGGAGGATTACGTATAAGGAGCTGCAGGCGGAGGTGGAGGTGCTGGCGGAGGTGTTGCGGCAGAGGGGCGTGGGGAGGGGGGATCGGGTGTTGGTTTATAGTAGGTTTTTTTTTTTTTTTTTTTGTTTTCCTTGGTGTTGTGTGTGTCAATGATTTGTGTTGGGTGGTTTTGGGGGGGGGGGGGGGGGGTGTCAATGATTGTGGGCACGTTTTTTTTTTTTTTTTTTTTTTTTTTTTTTACGAGTGTCTTGTAGAGGCGGCCCAGATACCAGCCAAATACCATAGCCCCTTACTATACCTTATTTTGTTTTCTACACCCTTGTATCATTTACTATACCCTCATATCCTAATTACTAGACCTACCCTACTGGTCCTACCCCCCATTATTCTTTTTTTACTATACCCTGCTTTTCACGCCTTCTTATCCCTACCTCCCACCCGCAAAAGCTAACAAAACCCCAGTGCCCATGATCCCCGAATGCCAAATTGCGCTCCTCGCAATCACGCACCTCGGCGCCATCCACACCGTCGTCTTTGGCGGCTTCGCGCCCGCCGAGTGCAGCAAACGCATCGACTCCGCCGAGCCCAAGCTCGTCCTCACCGCCTCGTGCGGCATCGAGGGCGGCGCGGGCGGGAAGCGGCGCGTCATTCCTTATTTACCTTTGGTACGTGTGATCATTGACCCTTGATGTATGTGCATACTTGTATGCATATATAAAGGGAAAGAAAAGTAAATCTAATGAGAAGGAGGATATAGGTGCGAGAAGCAATCGACAAGAGCGCCCACAAGCCGCAAGCCACGCTGCTGTGGCAGCGCGAGGAGATGTATCAAGCGCTGGACAAGGGCCGGGGCGAGCTGGGGTGGAACAAGCTGGTGCGGTCTGAGCGGGTGCGGAGGGGGATGACGGGCGTGGGGAGGGCGGAGGGTGAGCAGGGGGCGGTGAAGAGGGTCAAGATACCTGGTGGGGGCGGGTGTGTCGAGGTCGGGGAGGCGTTCCCGAGTGAGGATCCGCAGTATATCATCTATACCAGTGGTTAGTCCCAATATTCCCCTATCCATAATACACATAAAAAGAAATAGAAGAGAAGGCAGTAGCTGATATGACCCCCCCCCAGGAACCACTGGCAAACCCAAAGGCGTAATCCGCACCCTCGGCGGGCACCTCGTCGGCCTCTCCTACACCGCCACCACGCTCTTCAACCTCACGCCCACGTCCACAATCTTCTGCGCCTCCGACCTCGGCTGGGTCGTCGGCCACTCGTACATCCACTACTCGCCGCTGCTCCTCGGCGCCACCACCGTCCTCTTTGAGGGAAAGCCCATCGGCACCCCCGACGCATCAACCTTCTGGCGCATCGTCGAGGACTACAAGGTCGACGTCCTCTCCACCGCGCCCACGGCGCTCCGCGCGATCCACCGCGAGGACCCGGAGCTGCGGGGACTCGCAGCCCACGACACGTCCTCGCTGAAGGCGCTGTTCCTCGCGGGCGAGCGCAGCGAGGCGGGGATCGTGGACTTGTTCCAGAAGCGCCTGTGGGGCGGGTACGACGGTGCCGGCACGATTGTGGACAACTGGTGGAGCAGCGAGTCGGGCTCTCCCATGACGGGCGTGTGTCTGGGACTGTCTCCCCGACCACGCATCAAGCCTGGGTCCGCCGGGCGGCCGCTGCCCGGCTGGGACATCCGAGTTGTGGACGACTCGGGGAAGCGTATTACTGAGGCGGGGAAGATGGGGAACATTGTTCTCGGCCTGCCACTCGCGCCGACGGGCTTCCGGGGGCTGTGGGCGGACGAGGGGATGGCGCTGTATACCAAGGCGTACACGAAGCGGTTCGGGCAGGGCCTGCTCGACACCGGCGACGCGGGGTACATCGATGCAGACGGGTTCGTGAACGTCATGAGCCGCACCGACGACGTGATCAACGTCGCCGCGCACCGCTTCTCCACGGGCGCCATGGAGGGCGTGGTCCTCGGCCACGCGGGCATCGGCGAGGCCTACGTAGTCCCGTGCCCGGACAGCCTCAAGGGGCATGTTCCCTTTGGGTTTATCGTTCTCGAGGCGGCGCTGCAGGGCGTGGACGAGGGCGTGCTGCTGAAGGAGGTGAACGGGCTTGTGCGGCGGGAGATTGGGCCGATTGCGGTGCTGGGCGGGCTGGTTGTGCTGACGAAGGTGCCGCGGACGCGGAGCGGGAAGACGCTGCGGAGGGTGATGCGCGAGGTGCTGGAGGGCGTGGTGGCCGGCGGGGACGGCAAGGGCGTGGAGGTGCCGGCGACGATTGACGATGCGACGAGCGTGGAGAGCGTGCGGGCTGCGGTGGTGCGGTGGTGGTGGAAGGAGCGGGGCGGCGCGGTCAAGGCGAAGATGTAACGGAGACGGAGACGGTTGTGTTGTTGCTGGTTTTCTTGTGTTTTGGCTTTTGCTTGTAGTTGTGGTCGGCTGCCTCGTTGCGGTCAGTCGTCGGTTTGGCACCGTTTTCGATTTGCGCATGACTATCTTTGTGTATTTGATAGCTTCTTTGCTTCGTGCCCGATTCCACAGTCCATGATACAGGCAGGAGTGCCCGATGTCTCGAAGTTGTTTCTCTCTTTCTGGTCACTTTTAAAAAGAACTCGCAATAAAAGACTCACGCGAAAAAGCCTATCACTGAACCCACTCACTTGTCCCACCCCAGCGCAGTCTATAAAAGGCTTCTTGCCCATCTCTGATCTCACACCACCACGGATATTGCCTAGCCTGTTTACGAACCAATGCCACCCTGACATAAAGGCGAGGACATGGGCAGAAGGGCCCTCCAGTGTCTTTCTATATACCCGTATACTGCCCAGGTCCTTGACTCTATGTCAAGCTCGCACAGGTGCCAGGATTTCGTTCTCCGTTCACTTTGCACAATGTCTATTACTACGTGCTACTCAATGGCCTAATGCACGCCTCTCTATTTCCCACATCTGGGTGGATAACCAGAAAAATAAATCCCCCAAAGCCCCCCAGCAGACAGAAAGAAAGAAATCTACAAATACCCCCCCCCAGCAATCCTCTTACACATGCCCTCCAGCACCCCCGCCACAACCTCAAAATCACTCATCTCGAGATACACCTGCCCACTGACCCTCGCCCACCACTCCCCGCCATACACCATCAACGGGATCGCCGAGTTAAACTCCCTATTAACCACATCCATCGCCCAATCCCTCACCCTCACCGCCGCCCCCTCATCCACCGCCGCCTCCCCCTCCCGCGCCGCCCTCGCCCCCGCAACCACAAGCGGCAGCCGTACATTCCACAAACAGCTCTCCCGATCCCGCTCCATGACCTCGGTGCCCAGCCGCTGCGCAATGAGCTGCGCGCCACGGTACCCAATGTCCTGCGCGTAGGCCATGATGCGGTCCTCGCCGCCGCACACAATCTCCCGGAAGCGGAGCGCCGCGGGGATGCACAGCGCCGGCGAGTTGTCGACCGTGCCGACGAACTCGAACATGGTGACGAAATCGGAGTTTGTGGCGTTAGTGTGCAGGACAGAGGAGGTGCGGGCGAGCTGCGTGGGGGGCAGGTAGCCGTGGGAGGTGGGGAGGGTACTGCGGATGAGGTGCTGGTTGCGGAGGGGGACGTGGAAGGCGGCGCAGCCGCGGGGGACGTAGAGCCATCTGTGAGGTGGTTATATTAGTATCTGTATTGTAGTATGAGGAAGGGAGTGTTACTTGTGGCAGTTGCTCACAAAGAAGTCGGCGTCGAGCTTGCCCAGGTCGAGGCGGAGATGCCCAATCCCATGCGCGCCGTCCACGAGCGACAGCACCCCGAGCTCTTTACACACGCCCACCAGCCTCTCGAACGGCAGTCTTAGGCCAGGCATGCTCACAATGGTATCAAAGATCGCGACCCTCACCACTCCGCCGCTCGCCTGCTCCTTCTTTATCGCCGCTCTGAAAGTGTCGACGATGACATCATCGCTCGCGGGAAACTGGATCGGGACCTTTACGCCGACCGCGGGCGTGGTCTCCTCAATGTACTCGACGCTGTTCTTGCACGCGTTGTAGATAAAGTCGAAATAGACGATGCTGTCGCCGGGCTTGAAGACGAGCGAGCGCAGGACGGTGTTGACGCCGGTGGTGGCATTGGCGACGAAGACGAGCTCGGGGAGGGGCACGTTGAGGTATGTGGCGAGGAGGGCGCGCGAGCGGTCGAGCAGCGCGGGGTAAGTGGTGCGGATGAACTCGTCGGGGCGCTTCTCGGAGGCGGCCTGGAAGGCTTGGAGGGCGCGGCCGACGGGGCGGGGGTACGTGCCGAAGGAGCCTGCGGGCGGGAGTTAATGGTGCGGTCTGATTGGATGGAGCTTGGGGATGCTATCATATGTAGGTTTATATTGCGGCATCCACTGCACTGGAGAATTGCAGTGGGGGGCAGTTCTCTCAACAGGCGAGAGTGTCTTACCATGATTGATATTGATCCAATCCTTCTCGAAATAAAAGTACTTTCTCATCGCATGGCCGAGCTCCTCTGGCTTCTCAGGCTCTGGCTTCTCAGGCTCTGTCTGCGAGACCTCCAGCTGCGAGACCTGCTTAACGAGATAGTCAAAATCCTGTACCTGTACCATAATTGCTGTCTATATCTCCTCAATCCAAGTGCAGTTTAAATTGTGCTGTTTTGTTGTCGTTGTAGGTTTTGAAGCCACAGGATTTTATACCGTGATGCGGGGCAGCTAGAAATTGTATGTATCTCCAACTCATACCCAGTATGACTCTTAACTTTGAGGTTTTCCCCGCCCACCCCCGGTTTGAACAATTGGTAATCTTTTTCTATCTTGTTGCACGTTGCGATACGAATACAGCATTCCTACCTACCTCGCTGGGTTAGCAGTATTTGTGGTTATCGCACAAGCATTAACTTTTTATCGTATCATTTGGCGAAGAAGCCCGTGATTTGAGCAGATGGTTGAGAGAAACCTCGGGAGCTCACAAGCTTCTGAGAACGCCGTACGTAAGCGATTTAATAGTAGGTAATTAATCCATCAATCAATCAATCTTGTCTCATCCCATGTACATATGTAGGGTGATAGCCAGAATCCCCTATAGGTAGGTTCCTGGCCGCCGGTAGAGTGGCCTGTAGGTATATATGTGAGTAGACAGCCCCCAAAGAGTCAACCAACAAACCGCATTCCAGCGGCTCAACAAGACCACCCTACTCCTTTCTAATCACCCAGCGCACCGGCGCAGGTTACACCGCGCATCTCCAGTTATTAGGGGCCCTCTTTCCCCCATCCGGCACTATCTCGCGAGTTTCGGTCGCCGAGTTACCCTAACCCCCATTACCCGGGACAATGTCTCTCCGGACAGGCGAGGGTTAGGCGAGAGCAGCAGGCGAGTTCTCGACAGGACGGATGAATTTGTTGTACAGGTGGCCGTGGGAATGGATTGTTTATGTAGAAATTGGCTTTTGTATATATACAGTACTTACCATATATATGTAATGTATTTGAGCCAAGGTCGGTCGACAGATAGACGGTAACAAGAAATGTCGGAATCATCAGTTGTGTCTCAGCTACCGCACGAGAAGCTCAAGTTGGAGGGCGGTAATGATAATGTGTCACCTTTTGACAGCAGTGTTGTAGTTGATGCTGCTGCTGAGGAGAGCATATCTCTTGTCGACAATGAAAACCCTTATAATTGGACTACCAGGAAAAGTTTGTGACCACCACCAAGCGCATATCCCAATCGAGCTGAGCAAAGTTTTGGTTAACAAAAGAAAATTAGGATGGTTGATCACAGCAGTGTTCTGTCTCATGAACTTCGCAGTCTCTATCGGTGCATCGATATTCACACCCGGAATAGGCTTTATTTCATATTCATTCGGCGTGTCGACTGTTGTTGCAACTTTAGGCCTGAGTTTGTAAGTACTCTCTAGTACTGCTGATATCAGTAGTATGATATTTGATTAGTAGTTAGTAGGAACAGTAGTGCTGACTGTACTAACATGAATCACAGCTATGTGCTCGGCTTCTCAATGGGTCCACTATTATTTGCCCCCATGAGTGAAGTATACGGCCGCCGCATAGTCTACATCCCCACCTGGGTACTCTTCTGCGCTTTCCAAATCGGCTGCGCCACCGCCCAGAACATCGAAACTCTTCTCATATGCCGCTTCTTCGTCGGAATGTTTGGGTCACCATCGTTGACAGTCGCCGGTGGTACAATGTCCGACATATGGCTTCGTACTCTCTCCCTGACTTACATCCTACTCGAGGACTCTGCTGATAATGTATCATGTAGCAAATGAACTTGGTCCTCCACTCGGGCTCTTCACGATGACTGCATTCCTCGGCCCTGTGGCAGGCCCTATTGTAGGAGGCTTCATAGCAGAGTACATTAAAAACTCTGCCCCCTGGCGGTGGAGCTTCTGGGTCCAACTTATTCTCTCAGGAGTCCTGGCCCCGAATCTGATCTGGCTTCCAGAAACATATGCCACTACTCTACTAGAAAAGAAAGCCAAAGCACTCGGCCGACCCCTGCCAGGCGGGGGCAGAAAAGCACAGAGCAAAGTCTTCAGACTTGCCATCTGGCGACCACTGGAGATGCTAGTGTTCGAACCTGTGGTTATTCTTGTATCGTTCTATATCAGCTTTCTCTTCGGAATCCTGTTCGTCAAACCTTCTCTCTCTCTTCTTTTGCGTTTCGATCTGACATGGAATGGGATAGATATCTTTACTTCGGGGCATACCCTCTTATCTTCCAAGGCCGCTATCACTTCACATCCGGTTATTCAGGTCTTGCATTCCTCGGCATCGGCATCGGTGTCATTCTCTCCTTCCCCACTGGCGCACTCTCAAACATTATCTACATCCGCCTCAAGAAAGACCGCCGCACCTACCCCGAAGGCCGGCTCCCCATGGCGATAGTAGCAGCCATTATAGTACCCGGCAGTATCTTTTGGTTTGCCTGGAGCGGTGGAAGAGACGGCGTGCATTGGATTGTGCCCGTACTGTCCGGTGTGCCGTTTGGATGGAGTATGGTTGTGCTGTTTATCAGTCAGATCAGCTTCCTAGCAGAGGGCTATCTGGAGTACTCTGCGTCCGTGATTGCCGCCAATACGATAATGAGGTCGATGTTCTCGATGGCGTTCCCATTGTTTGGGCCGACGATGTATAGGGCTATGACACCGGAGTGGGCGGGCAGTCTACTTGGTTAGTGCTGACTGATATGCTAGTGTTTCATTCGCTTGTCCGGGTGGCTGACTAGATTGGGTGTTAGGTTTTATTGCTATAGCGTTTATGCCGATCCCGTGGTTGTTCTTCAAGTATGGCAAGTGGTTGAGGAGGAATAGTAGATTCCCGACTAAGCAAGAGCTTGCGGAGAGGGAGAGAGAAAGAGGAGCTGCGGGCTTAGAGGCTTAGAGGCTTCGAGGCTTTCCTAATCCATATAGAGATAGAAGGTTCCTTTTGTTATAGATTTCCTTTTGTATTTAGTTAGTCCAGAAGTATATTTATTTATTGGTGAGGGGTGATTTCAATATAATATCAGAGGAATGGAAAGCCTTTGCATTGAAAAAGACAAGATTGATAGTTCTTTAAAAGAAGGACTGGATAAGAGTGAGAGGAATCCGATGAGAAGGGCCGGATGGAGAGTTGATGGAAGTGAACCAGGTACATGTAGTTCGTAGATATAGGCCGAACAGAACAAAGTATACTCAAAATTCATATGACGTGATAAGTCCCACGGAAAAGGCGGAAAAGACACAGTGTAAACGGGTTTTCTCATAGTGCAGGTCGCTCCCCATTATCCCGGCCCTGCAGCCTCCCCACAGTCTCCCTACAGCCTCAGTCTGGTATATACATGTACCTCTCAAAGATTAGTCCTGATCTTATCCCACCAGACATAGAAAGGCACTGTTGCAATGAAGTTCGCGGCAGGTACAAGATTGCTTCATAATATATCACTCGAGCATGCGGAACCTCGTATATATATATAGCGAAAACCTGCTATGAGTGTGCCCTATAAGGGTAACTTCTTTATACGGGTATCAATCTCCGGTCCTTTTTGTTCGAGCAGTAAGTAGTTACTGCTCTATCACTCGTGCCATCGGAGTGGTCACGTCACGCACTAAGTTTGCGGTACATGTCACGTATCGCGCACACAGCCACCTTCTTCTCCCGAAACTGCAATGCTAATAATTCTTGGCAACGTCCGAGAGCCACTAAAACGTGGCCCAGAAAAAGATACTTTAACACCACAAGAACCACGCAGGGGCCGTCAGAGATGCCACGGGACGTAAGCTGATTCACAAAGGAACATGCTTTAGACACCGCGTAATCTTCAGAAACTACTACATGTTCAGCGGAGAAGTCTATTTCCTCCTTGAATTCTTCAAGTTCCCCATGACGACAACAACCAGTTCGTAGGAGTATGGAGTATGGCTACATGGTATTACCACTGATGGTAAGCATGGACCGCCTAACTCTCAATAGGAGCCTTTAATTACCCGTCCTTGCCTTGCTATCCCGTGCAGCTGCATACATCAAACCTAAAAGTATGTACCCCAAAGTCAGCTCTGCAGCTGATACCAATTAGAGCACCTTAAAAACTTCAATCAAGGCAAGTTAGTTTCCTGCAGTAATCACACTCGTACTGGCAGTATTCGGATTACTTGTCATCTCTATTCTTTATCTCGTCGGCAGAAGTGACTACATGTATTTGCCTACCGCGTGTTGATCATCTCGAAATTCAAGAAATGCTGAACCAGGAATTATCAAGGCACACAATGCAACCATGTCGGTAGCGGTTCCGAAGATACCCACCCGCAGCTACCGTCTCGATAACAAAACTACCGTTTCGTTTCGTTCAATTTCCCTTGCGGCTCATTAAAAAACCCGCCATTGTGGAAAAAGCTACAACAGCAGCGGAGTTGACCAATCTGGCTTTCCGGGGGTCAGGGCTCCCCAAAAGGGACTTCCCGGTTGGGTTGATGTTTGTGCGAGGGTCATGAGGGGTCACTCGGCTCAACGGGTGCGGATAAAAGGAGTTTAGCTGGGTGGGTTAGCGATGTCTTGGTGAACGCATGGTCTCAGAATTCTCCGGAACTACATCTCTTCGCATCCCGACTCATCCCCAGGGCAAGAAAGAGGCTCTAGAATTCAATGCTTCGTAAGTTGCTATCAAAATCCATGACCTTAGAGACAGATCTAAGTATCTCTGCGCGGCAATGGCCCCCCGCCAAGGCCCATCGACTACATACATACATACATCCCTGACATCATATGCTTCTCAGGAGCATTGCACACCGTGCAGCGGTGCAAAGGACGAATGGATCAGGGCCCTGTCAGATGGTCATGGCTTCCACTTCTCACGATCTCTACTCTAATTCTAATCAGAAGCCAACCCCCACATCCCGCTAGAACGAACTACCCCACTTTACGCCTTCCCCACAAAAGAAAAACGCGGGGTAGCGTAGATAGGAGAAGCCCTCCTAGCCTAGAATAGCCTCGGCAACCTCTCCTAGGAAGTCCGGGATACCCTTTTGAGCTGACGTCCTGGGGAAAGCATGTCGGGTTTTTGTATGTACCTGGGGGGGTCGATTGGGTGTATGGATAGATTGCCTTTTTTGGCCCCTGTGTAAAGATTGGAATTGGTCCTATCTATTGGCCCAAGGGCCAAAGGATGGGATTGTGGAGTACAAGGTGTAAGGAGATACGCCATGGCGATTCAACAGAACTCTTCTTGCTCAATTCTGAGACCTCACGAGGTACTTCGAAGCTCAAGTAACGCCGGCTCAATTGCCGATGAGGTTGTCAATGAGCTGGTTACTAATTGACTGGAAGAGAGATATATATATAAGGAGAAGCTAGAATCGAGGACCTCTCCGTTCACCAGAGCTCTCATCATCCTATCCTCGCCTCATAATTTCATCTTTACAGCTATATAAACCATGGGTTCCGTAGCAGCAGAAACCAAGCAGCAGCAGCTCCCAGACGGCTACGTACAGCCCGCGGAGTTGCCACCAACATCATGGTCGATCCTCCCCTCCGAGGAGCCAGAGTTCGTCTCAATTGCCCAAACCTGGGTCGCCTCTCTATCAAAGCTTCTATCCTCCACCGCCGTAAACCAAGCCTCCCTAAGCAACATCTTCCTCCAGAACTCGTACTGGAGAGATCACCTCTGCCTATCATGGGACCTGCGAACGTTCCACGGGCCCTCCAAGATGGAGACCTTCTTCGCACAGAACCCAACGATCCGTTTGAAGACTGTCGAGATCGATTACAAGAACCCGGAGGCGGTCTCGTTGATAACGTTGATACCCGGACAGGAGTTTAGGGCCGTGCAGGCATATCTTAAGATCACTACTGAGTTTGGGACAGGGCGAGGCTTGGTCAGGATCTTTAGGGAGGGCCTGGGGGGTCAGCCAAAGGCATATACACTCTACACAGCACTAGAGGAGCTTAGAGGACATGAAGAGCCATTGGGTGATAGGAGGCCGCATGGTGTAGATCATGGCGCGAGACAGTCGAGGATGAGCTGGAAGGACAGGAGGGAAGCTGAGATTGAGTTTGCGAATGGCGCTGAGCCGACTGTGTTGGTTGTAGGCAAGTATTTCATTCTTAGTACAATTAGGCTTGGTTAGCTAACACAATGTTACAGGAGCTGGACAGGGTGGTCTTACAATTGGTGCTAGGCTTAAGATGCTGGGCATTCAGACCTTGATCATTGATAAGAACGAGAGAGTTGGCGATAACTGGAGGAAGAGATATCACCAGTTGGTTCTTCACGACCGGGTCCATTACGACCATCTTCCCTATATTCCCTTCCCAGCTAATTGGCCGGTGAGATATACCGAACCCTTATTATTATTATTCTTCAAGCTTACGCGGTTTCCGAAAGGTCTACACTCCGAAAGACAAGCTTGGAGACTGGTTCGAATCTTACGCCAAAAGCATGGAACTAAACGTCTGGACCACTAGTACCGTAACTAGCACTATCTGGGACCCCGTCAAAAAGCACTGGACCGCCACCATCGTCCGTTCCACACCCTCCGGGCAATCCACCCGTATATTCCACCCGCGGCACATTGTCATGGCCACCGGCCATTCCGGCGAACCAAACATCCCCGCCATTCCCGGAATCGGCTCATTCAAGGGCGACCGCATCTGCCACAGCTCGCAATTCCCCGGAGCCCCGCAACCGTCGACGGGGAAGAAGGCGGTGATAGTAGGGTGCTGCAACAGCGCTCACGATATTGCGCAGGATTGGTATGAGCAGGGTGCGCAGGTTACTATGGTCCAGAGAAGCACGACATGTGTGCTCTCCAGCGAGCACGGCATGGACGAGTTGATAAAGCCAAACTTCCATGACAATGGTGTAAGTACCCTTCTCTCCCGTCCGCACAAGGCACAATCTAATGAGCTCAAATGACAGCCACCCGTCGAAGACGGTGACCTGAATATGTACGGCACCACCGCCCCCGTCCTCAAACGCCTCCACATCGACACCACAAAACGCATCAACCGCCTGGACCGCGACCTTCTCGAGGGCCTCGAGAGCGTCGGCTTCAAGCTCGACAACGGCTCCTTCGACTCCGGCTTCGTCCTCAAGTACTGGGAGCGCGGCGGCGGCTACTACATCGACGTTGGTGCCTCCGAGCTCATCATCAACCGCAAGATCGCCATCAAGCAGGGTCAAGAAATCAAGCAGATCCTGCCTCACGGCATCGAGTTTGCGGACGGGAGTGTTCTTGAGGCAGACGAGATTGTCCTAGCGACGGGGTACGATAACATGAGGTCTACCGCGGTGAGGATATTTGGGAAGGAGGTGGGCGAGAGGGTCAGGCCTGTGTGGGGGCTGGATGAGGAGGGTGAGTTCAAGACGATGTGGAGGAGGAGTGGGCATGAGGGTTTCTGGTTTATGGGTGGTAAGTTTTTCTCTCTTTTTTCTGGGTATATACTCGGAATGATTTGTTTACTGATAATGGTGATTTTAGGAAATTTGGGGTTTGCGAGATATTTTAGTCGCTTTTTGGCATTACAGTAAGTCTACTCCATTATCCTCACTGTGAAGGTTGCTTTACTGATATTGTTATTGCGATTGTAGGATTAAGGCACTTGAGGAGGGATTGACATCTTATGATAGGTATTGAGTACATGTAAGGAGGGAATTTGAGGGTTAATATTCCTTGTATTTATGGGATTAGAATTTAAATAAGTATCATCCAGCTACATCATGATATTACATGCCCGAGGCTATGTATCATATACCTTGGCTTCTTTTTTACAATGCACTAGAGATGAATGAACCATTGCCCTACTTCTAGAGATTTTAGCTCTGCTTAGCTGCAACAAGAAAACTATTTTATACTGTTGGTAAATCGCAGTCAAGTTTATTGAAGGATACCAAGACTCGATGACAGGCTAAAGATTACAAATCCGTATCTAACGGTATACTTCCGCCAGAAACAAAGCCGAATCCTTTTCCCTCCATCACCACCGGTCTCTGTGTCCTCCAAGATTGCTCCCAGAACTACCAATTATTATTTCCCCCGATACCCGGCTTTTGCAATATCTCACCGCCCAGTGGTGCCGATAGATCACACTATTTGCAGGCTACCTTTCAGCAGTGATTGTAGCAGACCCTACCCGATCTATCGGCATCCGCTTCCAATCCACTCACGATTGACCTGTCCAGTAGCTTGTTTCCTGAATTCAGAGGGTTCACGAATATACTTGACATTGCTCCTTTCATGTCCTGGTAGTGACATATCCTTAATCTTTTTGTACACTCGAATGGCAAATTCAAGATCGCTATATTCAATTTCGACAATATTCCCTTGGGAATGATCTTTCCAGACTTTAGAAGTCAGAATGTCGGCCCGAACGTTAGCCAAGGACTTCAAGGTATCATTATGTTCAGCATCTGGAAACCCGGAAACCTCTAGGCAACGTGTTGCTCCTGACTGAATGTGCTGGGCAAGCTCGTTACTAATCACTGGACTCAGATCATCCGACCAGTTAACAATCAGTTTATGTTGATGCTTAGCGGCGGTTTCAACCTGGGAATTGTAGTCGTTGTAAAAGCTCAGGGCAGAACCCGGGTCAACATATGTGACGCGGAGTTTATTCTCCTCCAGAATTTCGAGTCGTTGCAGTTTTCCTCGACACATCCTTTGTATGAGGAATTGACGTGCGTTTTGAACGTTTGCACCCACTTCCACTATGAGGGTTCTTCTCTCCGGTCTTGAGAAATTATTGGTATTCATCGTAACCTCTTGAGATATCGCAGGTGCTCCCCTACCATCATTGTTGTTCGCTGCTCTTCCTGGCTCCTTGACTTCAACTCTTTGACGTTTTGCTACCCTCTCATCTCTAGTGTCCCTCAACCGCCTAGTATCAGGATTGTATGCGCCGTTATTTGAGATAGACGGTTGGTTAATTTGAGGGACTCTGGCATTATTGACTAGGCTTTTGTCCCCATTTCTATGGTCCGGCAGCGGTCTGGAAACAGCGTATTCGGCGAAGGGTTGCCCCGGCAAGTTCTGCTGGTTTTCGTCGACTTGGTCGCCTGGTAATAAATCGTCTGAGTGCACATCATTTGGGCGATACTGGCCGGACTGTTGGCCTAAAGGCATGTGAGGTTCTTCGGGATGATTCTGCTGGTTGTCTGTCCCCCCACCCGGAAGGAAAGTAAATGGCCCCGCCTGGGGCGGAACTACAGTTATCGCTGGTGACCTATTTTGACCAGTAGGGAAAGCTGTGGCTGATATAGCGGGGCATGCAGGTATATTACGAGGTTCTACTCGACAATTTGGATTATTAGCATCGAGAAAAGGTGCTTCGGTGATCCCGCGATCTTCTAGGGGGGCAGCTAAATGTCTGCTATCTTGCTGCTGAGGGTTAATCTGCCGGGTTTGAGCCTGCACATTGGGGCCCCGCCGATTGACACCCTGTTGGGGGTAAGGCTGTTGGGGCTCTTGATTGGGGCGGATGTTTTGTTCTGACTGTTGAGGCGACTGATTACCATAGTGTGCTCTTTGTACGTTGCCCCATGCGATAGCATCTTTAAGGGCGTTTATGGATGCATCCTTCTCTGCAATAACCTTCTCTAGCGCCTTTACACGTTCCTGGCTCTCGGAAAGACCTTTTTCCAGTTCCTCAATTTTTTTGACGTATTTTTCCTCCAGTAACTTTTTGGTCGTCAAGTGGTCTTTGTAGGTTTTCCCGAGGACACCAACAGTATCATCGGTTCTTGCAAATTCCATCTCCCTTACTTCTTTTTCAAGAACAAGCTGTCTATACTTTGCATCGGAGTATTTCTGGTCGTACTTTTTACTGATTTGCAACTCTATCTCCGACATTTCCTTCTTGTGCTTTCTTCTAAGAACCGCGCACTTATGCTCCCAATGGTCGTTGTTGCGATCCCAGGTATGAGCTGGAATAATCAACGCATCTTCGGCACGGACACCAGACAACCGGTGAATCAAGTTGTGAATATTATTGCAAGCAGGAAAGTGCGAAGAATCTTTGGGGGCCTCTGGGACAAAATTGGGAGGAATTTCAGGGCTTGGAGAGCGAGGTTCAGGCGAAGGAATGATTTCCCGGTCTCCATAGGTACGAATCATAAAGTGGCGGTCATTCTCCGCTGGAAACGGATCTATTTGACGAGTCATTGCTAAAATGATCTGAAAAAGAAGTTAGTGGACTAATCATTATTATATCCTTCGTTCCTGTCATGCATGAATGGGTGATGAAAGTGTTAACTCTTCTCCCTTCATATATCCAATTTTCCAAGGTTCTTTCATGGAGAGGGGGAAATTCTCGCTCCCGAACGCATGATCCTTAAGGAAAATTGAATCCATTTAGGTATATAGCGAGTCTTACCAGGTTTATTCCTTTAAAGTGTTCACCAGATGAGAAGTATTTGTTTCAATATGAGGCACTAGTTTGTAGAACGAGAAACGTAAGTAAAATGTAATAACAAAAAATAAAAAAAATAAAAAACAGTGATCTTACATGGAGAGAAGACCTGGGGTACATAGAGAAACGAGCTCCGTCCCCAAATTAGCATTACTATGATCTGTGGGTGAAATTCTTTTGGCGAACATACCTTTGAATCCAAGCAGCAGGAGTGAAGACCTCGCCTCCCCTCAGAGAAAACAGTGACAACCAATTTATAAAAGCACAGTGGAACAATGGGATGGGAATGGGGGATGGGGATTGAGTTGGAAGAGAGGTGATGAGGAGTGGCGAGGTGGTGGGGTTGTAGGTTTGTGTTTGGGGGGGGAAAGCAAGTAGGCTTTAAAACGCGCGTAGAAAGGGGGCTTCTGGCTGCTGCAGCAGATAAGATTTTCAAGAAGCTTTCTTAGATGTATAACACCACCGATATAAACACGGGAAACGGAAGGAAAAATAAATAAAGACAGTTAGCATCAAATGATACTCCCATGAGGCGCTTCTACCTCCGTTAATAACGATACTATTAACTGATCTCGGAACATAAAATATCACTCGCTCCACAAGTTGAGAACAGCAAGGCCATGGTTTGGTCCCTTGTACCAACCCACACCGCGTTCTAGGTAACAAAAGTCCCCGCCCTACTACCACCACCACCATCAACCTCCCTTCTTGAGAAAAGGCGCCTACCCACCCATGCACTTCTGATTTGGGTGAGCACGAGATACAGTCGATTCCAGGTTTTTTTCTTTTTCTTTTTGTTTAATTCATTAATTGGTCGATTCCAGGTTGATAGCAGATGGTAAAAATCAACCAAAATAGAGGCCTGTGGCTGGCCTTTGACTACAAATATGTAGTATCAATTGGCCTATATATGCCGCTATCGATCAAATTCGCCATCAACCCGGCCGGAAACGACTTACATGGACTAAATAAATCTGATTCTGAAATTGGTAGATAAATTGTCGACACGGATCTGAGAACAAAGCATAAGATCGCGTGGGTACATGTATTATGTACACCAGATCGAGAGACTCTCGCACTAACACTGCCAATCTAGAAAGAATGCAGTCCGCACTTATACTAAATGAATTTCCCTCTCCGCAAAGGACGATATCATAAAACCTAGCTATTGAACAAGAAAAACAAAAGCAAACTTTTCGTACAAGCTTACACATCGTTCTCAAATATCAACTCTTTACCTCCTTCCCTTCTTCTTCCCAGGGACAACCTTGAATGCTGCATTTGTCTCGGGACTGACCTCTCTGGTAACAGGCTGCGGCTTTCCCTTTGCGACCTCATTCCAGCCACTTGCACCACCATTAGCAGTTCCAGCATCAATGATAATGCCTTTGTTAGCAGCTGATCTACGACGGACGAATTCTTCCGCAAAACGACGACCGTCCATGGTTGTGGTGCAGGTATAAATGGTTTCGGCAATGAGTTCAGTCTCCGCAGGAAAGGTCAAGAGAGTTTGAATGAGCTCGTCGGCTATTAAATATTAGTACCACACCAACGTCCGAATAGCACAGTAGAAAAAATACCTTGTAAACCCTGATTTAATCCCTTGATGCTTGCTTTACACCACTTCATAAACTCCTCGTTTGCGCTCATTGTAGGAGGCTTGGATGCAGGCGACGTTGGCGAAACCTTCTTGGCCGTCGTAGGGACAGGAAGCCCTAGAGCAGGGGCGCTAGGCGCAGTCTTCAAGGACTGGGCGGGGGCTGTTGGAATGGGGCTGGTGGCAAGATTCTTAGACTTGCCGCCGGGGCCAACCGTAGTCCATACACCTCCAACGACTCCAACCGTGTTGAGCTGTGGCAGCTGCTGAGTCTTACCAGCAAGATCCGCGTATCGCTTACCTCCAGCAGGAGTGGGATGAGTGGCAATGTTCTGGGTTGCTTGTGCAGCAGCAGCGGCAGCAGCCGCGGCCTTCGCTTTACGGAGTTCCTCTTCCTTCTGAATCTGCTGGAGAGTTTTCTTAGCACCCCCAGTAGGCAAAGTGTTTGCTTTCACCAAGGGCTTTGCCCACGCTGAGGCCTGACTGCTTGACGGAGTTCCGGAGGGAGAAGTAGCCCAGGTTGCCGTGGATGGCAATCCAGGCGCAGGAGGCGGTGGTTGAGTGTTAACCTGTTGGAGCATCATCTGACGTTTGTGTTCGGCTTCAGCAGCGTCTTTTGCTTGTTGAGCCCTGGCCTCAATCTCTTGGATTTCTTTCAAAGAAGGTCCCTTAACCTCGTTTTCCTTATTTGCCCAAGGTGCAACGGAGACACTTGTATACGGTGTTTCAGACGAAGGACTGCGGGTCATGGGGAGTGTCGAGGATGCAATTTCTGAAGCATGGTGAGAGCCCGGTGGAGGGGGGAAAGGCTGAACAAGAGGCTGTTCGATTTCCTGCCAAACGGACGCAGGGGGAGCAGGTTGCGCTTGCTTTAGGATTGGCGAAGCCTTGGCGGATGACCCCTTAGGGATGCTCATCTTCAATTGCTCATTAGCCTGGGGTGACGGCTTGTGCTCTGACTCAGGGTCCCAATGGTCGTCAGGACTGGATGAGGCAGCATCGGTCGATCTCTCGTTTGACTCATGGGCTTGCTCATGCTGCTCTTGAGAAATTTTATCCTCCTCCTTTTCCACATCCTGCTGAGCTTGTTGCTGCGTCTGCGCAGCAGCAGCGTTGATTTGTTGCTGTTGTGCATGTTCCAATTCTTGCTGCTTCTCAACTTGTTGATGCTGATTTTGGTAAATTCTCTGTGTCTGACGTTGCATATCAAGAAGTTGCTTCTGTTGCTCCAATTGAAGATGGTTTGGCGGGTGAATCTGTTGCTGTTGCTGTTGCAAAAATTGATTGCCTGGCTGCATTTGTTGTCCAGGTATTCCCTGCAGTCCATGCCCAACGCCGAATGTATCCCCCCCGCCTCCAGCAGCAGCACCGGCCTGACGCAGTAATACACCCGGTTCAAATGCATTTTGCGGCCCGACACTGGGTGCACTGGCGGTTGGGGTAGCAAAGCCACCGGGGCTCTGCAAGCTCCCCTGCAAACTTCCATAACTAGGCTGTGAATGGAGACTCTGCTGCGAATGTTGGTGGTGCAACACCTGGTTTTTGGCGAAGATCTGCTGCTGAACAAGAAACTCCCTCTGTCTTGCCAAAAGGTATTGCTCTTCCTGCTTCCTTCTCTCCAGAGCATTTTGTTGATCGGCGGTGAGTGTGGTTCCAAAGCTTGGGAAACTTCCGGCGAATGGTGGCTGAACAGTGCCAGGTTGTTGAGCATCCAGAGGCCAACCCGACCAAGCGTTAGGCACTGGAGCTGCAGGTGCTGCGGCGGGTGCAGTCGAACCCGGAGGTGCCTGCAAAGGAACTAGGAAAGGCTCTCTTGTGTTTCCGATCCTACGTACCAGTTGCCCGAGTGGTTCAAAATCATGATCCTCGATCCTTTTCACTGCGAGCTCCTGGGTAAAAAACCCGGCTTTGTACCAATCATGCATTTCCAGTCCCGAGAATGGCCCTTGTATGGTCCCAGATGGGTCACGGTATGTCCACTGTATCTTGTCTGGCATGACCAACACCGTCTGCGTTTGCGGCGGCACAGTCCCCGGAGGCGGTCTGATTGGTTGTGCCTGGTGTGACATCGTGGGCTGCATTGGGTTTGATTGATTTTGCATCTGTAGACTTCCGAGGGTAAAAGAATCTTCGCGTTCCCTAGAAAACATAGTATCCCCAGATGCTTGTGCGCCGATATTTCCAAGGCTCCTTGTGGTGTGCAATCCCGAGAATAGATCTGACACGTCGCCTCTATCTCTCATTGGGCTATCAATATTGCCAAACCCTCTTCTACTCCCAAATCCTCCAAATCTCAAGTCGCCAAACCCGTCGTTTGATTCAAATCCTCCATTCTCGTCTTCCATTTGTTGCTGTTGCTCTGGGGAGAACATCTGGGCAAGTCTACTACGGCTAGCTGAGCCGAACGGCCCTCCACCACCGATACTGCCCATGCCTCCCATACCACTGCCTGACAGAAGAGTGCCGCCAGGGCTAGCCAAATCACCCAACCCAGAGCCGAAAAATGTGCTTGGGGCGGCAGAGGTTCCCAAGCCTCCGGGAGTCCCAACCTGCCCTCCCCATAACCCACTCCCGCTTATGGACCCAAAACCACTTAGTCCTCCTACAGCGCCCAAGCCTGCAGTGGAACTCCTGCCACTCCTATCGCTACCGGGGGCTCCAACATCACGTTTGAACCCACCACCAATGATGCCACTTCCGTGACCACCGTCGCCGTGTATATCATTGATGTCGTCGTCATCAGCCTTTTCCGGCGCCGGGCTTTGGTAAGGGTTTGTTTCGGTTGGACTCAAAGGCTCATTCTCATTGAGCCCACCGACCATACCGCCTATACTTCCTTGCCGAGATCTACCGTGAAGAGGATAGTTGCCATGCTGGTTCAACTGCAAGTTTTGCAACTGTTGATGAAGACTTCCTTGGCCCATGCCGCCCAGAGTTAAGCCCTCACGGCTACCCCCAAGGCCAGAAAAGCCAAGATCACTTCTGATTTTTGTAGGCGTAGCAATGTTATTCCCGCCTCTCGGCGTGTTCACAGATGCAGATGCCATATTACCAAAAGATGCTGAGTTTTTGATGCGGTGAGGATCATCCATCGAAGAGTGAGGAGAGTGACGTCCCTGGCCAGTTCCATGATCGTCCTGATCCCTGTCTCCAAAAGGATCCGTGTCGGAACTCATCGGCCTCTCCCTCTCCTCCTCATCACGGTGATGGTCGACGGCGTGCGAAACTACTCGATTTACGTCGTCATCTTCCTCCTCGACGTCCTCAACCTTGGGCGGCGCCGTAGAGCCCCTTGTGCCACTGGCTCCTCCCCCGGCTTTGGCTTTGTCCGCGGTATTTGTAGTGCTCTGCAAGGAAAACCCGCCCATTGTACCGCCAAAAGTACCATTACCGAAACTACCCATCGGGCTGTTCAGGGCACCACTGCTGGCGAAACCGCTGGAGCCAGCCGCTCCACTCGGCCAAGCGCCACTTCCCTTCCTGATTAGTCCGGCACTTCTGGCACCTCCAGCAGTGGAAGATCCTTCTTCTGTACCTTTGTCCTTCGCATGGTCATCTTCTCCGGAGGTGCCGGCAACGCTACCCCAACGGCCAAACAAAGTGCCCCTACCTCCGCTATCCTCCGCCTCACGCAGCTCGGTCCTACGCCGAGGAACCTGAGGTGGGGTCAAAGTAAATGGTGAACCTGTTAGCGCGGCATCCGATGTTTCACGACGACGGTTTTGCGGACGGTTAACGCCAGGGGTGGTGATGTTGCCAGGAAGAGCACCGCTATTAGAGCGTTTAGGGGGCGGTGTATTGGTAACAACTGTATGATGGTTTGTAGGCCCTTGATTATTTTGGTTCGGAGGGACTTTATGAGGGGAGTTAACGTTATTGGAAAACAACTAGATGTGAGAATCGTCAGTCTATATGCCAAGACTACATTGCGTTTTTGCATGAAACATGGCCACGTCACTCGTGATTGTGAAATGTTATGAAGAAGAGGGAAGAAACAAAACACACCTCTCGCTCCTCCTCAGTGAACTCTTCCAAACTAACGGGCTTTAGTCCACCATCTTTGTCCCAACAAACGTCCGCGCCACCTTCGTCACCACTCCTTCCCCAGCCAGCACTATTCCCGGAACTCGTATCTCCCAAGACTAGATCCTTTACATCCCTCAGAGAGTTTCCGTTCTGCTCCTGCTGCCTGAAGATTCCCAGCAAATCGTCTTTGCTGTAAGTAGTGTTGATAGAACCCCCCACGCCACCTCTGTTGTAGTGATGGGGTGGATGATAAACGTTCGAGCCCGAAGGGGTTAAAGGTGGCTGCGAGTGCTGTGACGTAGGGGGGTGGGTGAGGGTGGTAGAAAGTGAAGGGCGACGGTGAGTGCTAGAAGTGGTCGAATTACCATTTGCACGTCGAGTCCTTGAAGGGTCGGAAGAGGTCAGCATTTTTGCGCGAGAAGGAGGTTCTTGGTTAAAAGGTTTGTGTGTGCTTGAGTAGAAGTCGACAGATGTTGTGAAAGATGAGATGCAGAGGAGTGAAAGGTTGCAGATGGGAAAGATTGTTCGTGGGTTGAATAAGAGTGGCAGTGGTCGTTCTAGTGGGGGGGTGGGTCATGCGGGAAAAGAAAAGGCCTAAGCTACGATCGATGCAGGATGGATGGATGGATGGATGGAAGGCGGGGGATATGGGATGGGAGGAGAGTGCGAGCAGGGAAAAAAAAGGTTTATAGGTTCAATAATAATTGGAATGTGGTCGGCAACGCAGGAACACAAGAGTATTGGGGAAAAGAACACGGGCTGTACGGAAAGAGGAAACGCGATGGCGAAAATGAATGAATGCAGCACCACTGGATAGGGCAATGACAATAACGAAAAAAAAATGTATTTCAAAATAAAAAAAGAAAAGAGTAAGGGCAAAAAAATGGAAAAAGAAAAAAGAGGAATAGTCTTGAATAAAATTATTTAAAATATGGAAAGAGATTCTCACCAATCGCCAGAGCCTCCTCCTCCGCCACCACCACTCGAGGTGATACCGACAATAGGTGCGCCGTCCTTTGGCGTGGTTGCAGAGAACGGAGAGAATGTAGACGACGAAGACATTGTGAAGGGATTTGTGTTTCTTTTGTCTACTATTGTTACTAACTGGGGTTATAGTAATGTAGCGGCAAAGGGAATATCACTCTGCAGAAAGATCAAATAAAAAATTTGCAAAATCGCTCGGTGGGTATGGCTAGGTCTGAGAACTGAATTGGCTGCGATGAACAGATTTTCGCTGGTCGTTGTCTGAAGGTTTGTTGACTGACGAACTCGAACAGAGTGAAGAGGTGTGTGTGCGGTGCAGTTGTAGTAAGAGTAGGTCTCTGTGTAGCGAGGGCAAAAAAAAAGGGAGCCGTGACACACACGAAATGCAACTCTTACTTGGCTGAATGTGAGGGGTGCTGTGACAAAAGGACAAAAGAGAGAGAGGCTGGGGCTAGCACATTTCCACTTTAGGGAATATTTCAATGTTACCCTGACATGTTCGCCCCTCTTCTGGTGAAAATGATGTTAATCTCGCGGGTCTCGCGGAGCGTAACGCTTTGCATGATGATGCCGGTTTTCTCCATTTTCTTCCTAGGATTCTCTTAAGATCTTACAAATAAGTTTTCTGCCTGGTTTATCTCCTGAATCTCACGGATTTTTTTATCAATTTTAATTCAACATGCATAGAGCCGTGATTGCTCCTCCTAAAGAAGTTGTGTGTAGTACTTACATGTGCCTCCATATCAAAAGAAGGGGGGAGGTTGTACTACATGTACATGTACTCTACCTACGTACTACTATGTAGGTACGTGGGGAGATGAGTGAAGTCATCGGACCCTGGTGAAGCGAGGCGGGCTAGCTTGCGTTACATACAGACCCTTCACAGCGGCTACAAATCTGTAAATTGGACGGTTTTACGTGTGATCGACCCGTGTCGTCACCCAGCTGCCTTTTCACGTGAGGACGCGATTCAGATCCTCAGATCCAGCTTGGACCCTATATTTGGACTTTTATGAAGGTCCCAGCTTGCGCCTTAACGTTTATATATTAGGACACCCCTGCGGCTACAAAAAGGAGGATATGACTGCCAGGCGAGGTTGACGGCGCGCGTTCCTTAAAAGAACACTAATCATCGTGACAGTAATTGTGTGTGACGATTTTCAACAGCTTTGAATTACGAATCAGTAATCCTAGATCGAGCTTTGCCCATGCTGGCCGGTATGGGCTCATTACTTAGGGTCGATACACAGAAGATATCAATTCGTGCTTTGATATTATGATTGTTGCCTGACTGTATTAAATGCCTAAGATACTCTAGACCCACGTGTGTCCACTAGCAATAGGGTAAAATACCGACACCTTGATCAACTCAAGTGGGTAGGTATCGCCTCGTAGGTGTGTACAAGGCTTAAGAGATATCTGAGAAGTAAAACCTGACCTGCGCCCATATCCCCTCAACATGAAATCCCGCAAGAAAATCTGTCACCATGCACCAAATTATCTCCTAACTCACCCTGCGAGTCAGTAATTCCCCCCGTTGTATAACCCCAAATACACTGATCGCTCCTCAATGATATTCTTCCGGGTGGCCTATGGATCTGTGAATAATCGGGTACCAAGACGCTCACATCTATCGTATGCGCAATTCTTTCATTGTCTCCTTGGGTTTTTTTATTACTTCTTATCCCTACTCTTGCCCTTTCGGGATCCCAGTCGTGATAGTGATCATAGCTCTCTTCCCCGAAGCACAGAACCCGGTGGTACCATAGTATTGCGCAAGTTAAAACCAATATAATGGCAAAAGTAGTTGAAAGGATGATAGTAACTGTTGTGGTCTAGGATAGGATTCCCATTCTATAGCTAGGGGAGTTTGAATATGTATTCGATAAATGTTTTAGCTTGCTGTAGTGATCAACAGCTGGGATTGTTGTAAGCCGTTAGGTTTTTGAGACTACTGGTGTGTCAATATACCTCCAAAAAGCATTAACGATGAATATATATACTCGTGTCTTGATCATGTGGAGATAATAAATATTCACCAACAATTTTCCCCTCTAGTCCAACCGGCCATGGCTACAAATAGTGAGTTAGCAAAATATACAGGAGTAACTAGAGGGCAAACTTGTTGCTATATGCATGGACTTAGTTCTTATTAACTCCAAGGTACATAAAAGTTGTAAGTCAGTGATTCCAAATTTCTATTGCTTGCCAACGCTCATGTCGATATCGATCATGATTAATACATTCCTGTAGGTATACCTGCATGATGAATTTACCCCTTAACTAACAGGCTCTCAGCGGGGTGGAATTAGGTGACCCTGCGGCGCGTGTAGTGTTCGTCTGTATGAAATTGATCTATCTTGTTCTAGGTTCGAAACTAAACAAGGGAAGAAATATTGTTTTTTGACAAGGGCCATGGTTTGTTGCGCCATCGAAATTGCGTGTATCACTCATATCGATAGACTTATATCACATGTTTGTTTTTGCGAGTGATAATGAGTGATTGAATTCCTTGGCCATGGCTATAATGCGCGGAAACGTAAATATCTCGACGTCATATGCTGGGGTTAGGCTTGAGGTCAAGCTTAAGATATTCGTACTGCCGTAACAAACGGCAGCGGTAAAGTAAGGCCTTTCCGGGTGGCTACATGCACATCTTAACACCTTTACCAGCTGCGGCGGGTATCCTTTTTCATAAGTGCAACTTTAGATCTGGTAACGAATAGGAATAAATGTTGGATTGAAGAGATGCTGACAAACGGTTTGTATGTATCTTATTTTGTACTATTAATATGTCACAAGAGGTGGAAGGTCTGAAGACCATGATCCGGATTGGGAATAATTGCTGTTCTAGCTTGAGGTGTGATGATTTTGTAAACCTAAACAATCTTTCTCTATAAGCCTATCAAAATAAACTCTCCTGAAGGGTATATTTGTGGAGTAATGACACACATATAATTTATACAGTCTGCTGTTTGTACATAGACACATGCAGGCAGTTGATTTCCCCGTTTTCTCAAATTAAACCCCTTTCTTTACCGTACAGTACTACCGCCGACCTTAAGATATCTGCAAAGGTTGATAATGTGCAATATTACCTAGACTCTAGTAATTTCTCTAAACTGTCACATGTAGTAAGAGTTAGTATTTGTGTTGGAAACTTTTTGTGTTTGGGTTTCCCTTCACCGAAATTGGCATCTAAACAAATCTGAACAAAGATTTCCAGAACGCCAAACAAAACCGTGAAATAGACCTTTGTAAACTGATATTATTAAATATTGTGCCATATACCTCAAATATGATTATGAATAGTATTGTATGTGGCTACTAGTCTCAGGGCGAGAGTCTTATCCTATGATCCAAGTTGTGTCGTGATCCTGGAAACTCAGCATGCTGGGATGTCTTCCGAAGATGGGTTTGCAGGACACAGCGGCCATTTCAAAGGGCCTTATTATTAACCTTAAGCTGACTACTAGACTCTATAAACACTGCATTTGCGGGAGGGGAGGGGTGACTCGCCTTTAACGGCCTCCCTCTGGAGGGAACTCTAAAAGAAAAAGGGAACAAAAGAATGAATGCTCCAGGGAGGAACTGAACCTCCGATAACTTAATAGGGATTTCTCAGCTGAAAACCGGGTTTGTCTACAGACAGGTTTGTAACCACTACCGGAGATATGATGTTGATTGAGGATATGCCAATTTCAATCTCGTTTGAGTCTCGTACACATGTACATGTACAAAGATCAATATGCTAGAAGGACTGGTATTCTAACTGTCGATGGAGCATCTGCAACTAGTCCCAAGATAAGCAATTCATAAATATTCAACAGGGAGGGAGTTCAGTATATACTAAGTATCCTAAATCTAAATAGAATAGTCAGGTATCTCTGTCATCACGAAAGGTTTCTATTGGCTGGTTAGTTACCTCCCATCTCTAGAGTATAGTCCGGCGGGCTATGGCTGTCGATAGGCAAAGAATTGATGCATTAAGGGAGACGACATGCATGTTTTCATGCATGTTTTCTTAAGTCATCAAACCATGAGTTCTGTCATGATATATAATAGGCCCTCTGACCAACGTTATAACCTTTATACTTTCCATCGATGGTTCTTCTTGAGCTCTTCCGAAACTAACACTTCACGCGAGCAAGGAGGGGCCCAGCATGCCGCGCAGCGGCAGGCAGCCCCGACTGCGTGCGAAAAATCAATCTCTATTCTGAACCATTGTATAGAGCTGTATGTTCAATTCGAAACACTAAATAGAGCTGTGAGGTTTCTGGATCTTTACATACTTTTCTTTTGATATCGGCGGTTCCTCGAACTGATGTTTAATTTTATATGCGGCCGGAGGCCGCTCCTCACTAATAACTTTATAAAAGGATGCTCGGATCCGGCGCAACGAGTTGGTGGTGTCTAAATGGTCCCGAAAAGAGCACTGCTTGATGCAGTACGTCACCTGTGACAAATCGAAACACCGCTAAGACATATGTACATGTGTTGCAGTGCCATGGCTCCAATGCCTACTTCATCTAGGAATCTGATCCATCTAATATGATCAGTTATCACGTATGATCGCAACGCCATTATGTAAAACAATGTAGTCTAGATCACGATAACACCTAAGCGGATAACTGAGGGTACCACGAGATCAGGTCGCGGAGGTCTCGAGAATAGACGATAGCAGGAAACCAGCTCAAGCAAGTCAGCATTGGCCCTGTAGTACTCCGAGGGTTGCGGCCCCTAGGCTAAATTTCGTAAAGTCCTTCTTGACGATTTAAGTAATCCTTCAATGCCAAACGAATTCTTATCATTTCAACTTTGATTACAGGAAAAGGACATGACTAGATAACGAACCTCTCTTTGATTGGCACCTGTTCAATCTCTAAACGTATACAGATATTTCCTTGATAGGGTTGTTCTCTCAAATATATTAGCGGGTATTGGATAGACCTTTCAGTTGTAAATATCAGGTTCTGAGCTGGTGTGCAGTCCGTTTAGAAATGTTCCTGGTTGGTTATGGTTCTGGGTGAAGTGAATTCTTGGATGGAGGTACGTACAGTATACGTACGTATGTAGACAGAAACTCTAATTGTCCTGTCCGTGCCAAGAATTAATTAATTTCCATCATCATGAACATCACCTCCTGATCATGCTCACACTCATGCCCAGGAACCTCATATGATGAGATTTTCCCGCATTCGCTCTTAGATTGACTTACACTTATTTTTAAGTCTAATCAGATTACGATTTGTCGCGGATCAACGCATCTCTAGGTCCTTTCCTCATATTTTTCGAAGGGCGTTTGCAACATTCCTTGCATAGCTTCCTTACAAACATGGGATGTGGCGAGAGGTGCTCATTTCCAATAGATAAAGAGACGATGAAGAGTAAATGAGGTAAGCAAAAGCAGATAGGACTCTTACCTTGTCAACCGAACCTGGGGCTGGGAATGCTGACTCGAGTGATCAGACATGACTCAAAATATCCTAGGATCGATGATGAGTCATCAATAAAGGTACCGAATTGTTGATTAAATTATCAACTTTGGTGTTTCTTCAGATCAACGATTTTGCATATCCCATATTGGATTTTTAGAAATGAGATTAAGTACATATATGTATGTGTTATGTGTTATAAGTTCCCACAAGAAGGATCTAGATTTTAACTTACATCTTGCTCCAGGTTCCAATCATATGGCATACAGGTCTTGGGCCAAGGTAGGTATGTAGCTGTATCCTCAGCTTCCCTTCCCGAGGCAAGCAGAGCCAAAGTTTGTCTCACGAAAACAATTCCCACCGGTAATAGATCCACCCGATCCCTATTCATGTTACATAGATGATTGGTACTTGGATACAAGCAAACATTAATCCAATTCTTGTTTGGACAAGTGAGTATAACTACATGTACATAAGTACGTACATTTACCTCCATGCCTACAATGTACGTCGTGCTCACAACGTACGGTGTTTCTAGAAGCAGGTATGCCGGTGCGTTTCCTCAAGAGACGTGCTACTATCGGAGGCGGCGCACTCCGTAACCGTAACACAAGCTGGCTCGGCTAGTTGGGTTCCTCTGTGCAGCCACCAACATGTGTGTGTAACATATCGAGACGGCCGAATGCGTGCATTGCACCACCAACGGTAAATCCTCGCTGTTCTAGCCAGCTTAGACAGTATTGTAGGTAGACAGTCCACGGGTATGCTTGACTGAACCCCAGTCTCAAGGTGAGGTTGCTGATATCCATGATATTATGGCCTGTACCTATTTATCTTTATTCTGACTTCCTGCCATTCAATACGCCTCTAGCCCCGCTATTTGAGACAGTAATTTTAAGGCGCCCTCCGATAATTGGAGCACTTTAAAGCGACAAGCAGAAAAAAGAAATGCAGGTCTCGCCAACTGTTCTTGTGCTACTAGAGTATATGTAATCCCCACCCGCATCTCTTTCACACCCAAAGTCGAAAAGTTGTGAGATCACCTACAGAAAGAAAATATAAATTCGGATCCCTACCTGGGACCTCTTGAAGTCACCAAAATCACGATGTCTATGTCTCTTGGTGACAGGATTTTGATAGGCGTCGACGGCAAGGTTGGGCAGCCTGGTACACAGTTCTATGACGCCCGAGATACAGTTGGTTTGTATGACATTCGAGTTTCTAAAATATCACTACTAACGAACCACCACAGCTCCACCAGGCCGGAACGGCGAACACGGGCGTTCCGCATCAGCCGCAACAGCAGGTACGAATGCGGGCACGGTTTCGATTGAGATAACACCGTCTAGGCTCGAGCCGGGTGGTATACACGCAGTTGGGACCACAACTTGTGCCGGGTCCGAATGGGAGGTTTCGGCTGATAAGACGTTCTTCTTATCGGCGCGAGGTGGAGATGGCGGAGCCGGAGGGAGGGGTGAGGATGGACAAATGGGGGGTGCTGGGATAAAAGGCGAGAATGCGACTGAATACGCGGAGGCACAGGCTGGCGGGCCAGGAGCGAACGGTGGAGAGTATGTTTCCCGTGGGCCAGCTCAGTTCCAGTAGCTAACCATGGAATTTATGCAGCGCTGGATATGGCACAGATGGCGGAAATGGTGGAAATGGCGGGGTTGTATTCATTGAGGTTGCGGAACAGGACACAAACCTACTTCTGGGTGTCGACTGGGACATTTCTGGTGGTATGGGTGGTGCAAGTGGTGTCCATGGCAATCGTGGGGAAGGGGGCCAAGGCGGAGAAGGTGGTGAACAATTTACTTGGTAAGTTAATCATAACTTTATTCCTATCGAATTAAAATTCTAATACTAGATCTCTATTATTAGGCAGGTTTACGATGGCATTGGGTACTCTTGCTGTGGGGGTGCAAAAGTGTGCACCTGTTCAAAAGTACGTACCTAGCCTATGAAGTCTCAGATATCCATATGTCTAACCAATCAGTTCGTTCAAACGAATAAATACATCAGCTATACTCGTCCCATTGGCCCTCCAGGCCCTTATGGGATGTGGGGGTCTCTTCCATCAACAGTTTTAAAGCCTGGTTCCAACGGTGCTCAAGGCTCGGTCCATATAAAAGTTAAAAGCTCGAACGGCATGGACTCAATCTACCATGGAAAATATTTCTTAAAAATTACAAGTTTTGAGATTGTCGATGCCGGTAACGACGGAATATTCGAGCCCGGCGAGCATATAATAGTGAGGAACATATGTGTGCAGAATATAGGTAGATGCCATGAGCTTGATTTGAGTGAAATTGGTGTATGCTAATAAGATAGGGGGAATGCCTTCACCTGCCCATGCACGGATACCTGTGCTGATTAGAAGTACCGCGTGGTTCGACCCACTTATCGATGAACCTGCCTACCTCCCGAACTCAATATTCCCTGGAGAAACGGCCAGTATTCGCGGGGAGGTACGGGCCTTCATACGGCAGGAGGGACAAGTGCGTCCGCCTGGGGTGATTTTTCAAGCAGTTGACCAATTGGATTTGGTTGCGATGATGCCGGGCATAAATAAAGCGCTTCCAGAGTTCTTCCAGCCAGTCGCCCTCCCGATTAGATATCCATTGGAACTTGAGGCGCCAAGTTATCTTTCATCGGTTCAGCGAGGAAATGATGTTACATTTTCCTGGATGGTAGGATTTAATACCCATGGTATCGTGTACAGTTCTGACATTATTATTTATATACGTAGCTTTGGAACATCAGTAACAAGCCATATGGAATTAAAGGAGCTCTTCGACGAGCCGGAGGAACCTGTCTATCCGAAACCGGAGACAATCAGATATTTAAGTTCACAGAGAATGACTCGAAAGATAACCACTCTCGTGGCATTGACTTACCAGATAACATAGCACCAGGAACCGTAATTATGATTGCACAAACCCTTAAAGTCTCGGATCGAGCGGATCAATACTCAATTGGAGCCCTCACCCTGGAGCTACTCCTCTCAGAACCTGGGGATAGAGCTGACTGGTTCTCCACCCTACCATCCCCTTGTCCCCCTTTACGCTCTATTATGACGTATTCCCTCCAAGTTCAAGTTTCGGCGAAATACAGCTACAATCCCAGTTCCGCCTTCCTGATAGTTGTCAACTCTGAAACAAAACCGGAGACAATTCATCAGTTATATAGGTTGATGGGAGACCTGAAAACGAGCGCTGATGTTTGGAACTTGAGTGTGTACGGAAGCTTCATCAACCCAACCACTGGGCGATGCTTACTACTTGATTATATCGGGAAGACGATAGTAATTTTTGGAAACCCGTTCGAATATTTCCGTCAAGGAATGCGCTCCGCATTCGGGTTGATAGATCCATTTGTGGTCGCACATCTTGCAGCAGCCGGAACGAATTTTCTCTTTCCGGAGACAGTGAGCGGCGATGCATCCCTAAGCTCCTGGTTCTCTCATTTGTATTTTCCTACATATGTTGTAGCACCGGAAACGCAGGCCATCGATCGGAAGATATTAATTCCCACCATAAACTGCGAACAACGGAATCGTAATCTTGACACTCACATATTCATCGCAAAACCTCAACTTCTCAAGAAGAACAAGACAGTCTTGGTGGACGAGACAAAACGAACGGCAAAGTCCCTAGATGACCATCTCCCCCTACACCGATTTTCAGTTGCTCCTGTCACAAGTATTTCCAAGAAGATCGCGGGAACAGTCATTGTGCGGCAAGGACTACCCCGATATGCTCGTGTCGTCGCTGCATACGGATACTGGCACGGCTTCGGAGATAGACTCTCGGATTTGAACACTTTTATGATGGTGGCTTCTCTGCCGTTCAAGACTCGGGTCAAGATATTCTGGAATAGGTTTAGTGGAGATATACCACCAGATCCCGCCGGAGATATTTATGATGTTAGTGTATTCGAAAGTACTACTAACAAGCCAATTATAAACCCATCGGGCGTCGTGGAGCTCGATTCCGGAGACGTATCGGCAATTACTAGGGAGAAATCAGCGAAAAAGGCGGATAATCCTATTAGTCGTGCCCAAATTGATGAGAAGGCAAGTACTACCCCTCCGGAATGATCATTCTCTCTCCCTTTAATTGCTCATGTCTCCCTATAGATTTACAAAGCAGTTGCTTTAAGCCTTAATTACGAGATGGAGCAAGAAATTTCCCGTTTCTGTGCCGAAGCACCCTGGCCCGACCCCATCCCCGAAAACAATTGTCTCTACCAAGTTTCGAAGGTTGACTACTTCCTGACTCTTGTCGTCAATGCGTCGAAGGCCGAGCTACCGAGTGACTTTCAACTATTAGTTGAGACCCTCGGTTGTCTTGTGGCAGGGATTGAACCCGTCGGAGCAGGCCAATATATTGGGCAAAAGATGGTTTCATACGGCAAACGACGGTCTCACCTTCGACTACAGATATTTGCAAAACTAGATGTTGCCGTGCGCTCAGTATATGCGGAAAAAGTTGCTGCAAAGATCAAGAGGAAACTCATGCGCGAAAGCGATAAGCTGAAAAATGATATGGGGAAAACCGAAGAGAAGGCTATGATGAAAGTCATTATGAATAAGTGCGGAGCTCTTACGAATGAGAATTTGGCGAGCCATCACTTTCTGGATACGAGTACGGTAGAAGGGAAGTCGGAGGCGTGGGCGGAACATGAGGCGGCGACAAGGATGACGAATCATGCTGAGCTTTTGACCAAGATTAGGATGGATGAGCTATATAGTCGGGAAGTCCTTGAAAAGATGGTGAGAATGTAGTGGAAGGGTGGGGATGAATACTCGTACACGTAATGGAATTATATATCGTTTAATGAAATCTTGTTGAATATGTGGAGGGAAAGAAATGGGTTTAAATGAATATAGGAGAATACCATTTTTTAAACTCTGCATCAGACATAAAGAGCGAGTTCAAAAAGATAGACACTCCGTAAACATAATGAGACACGGCTCACACTACGAATTTCAGAACTCTAGGCACGGAAGCGATATTTGAATGATTAGTCAATCTAGTTAAGTGCGAGTGATTTTCTGTGACGAAGCTCTTGCGCTAAGCAGAGGGTCTTATATTCATACATATAGTACCGCGACAGCCCATTATCTATATTTGAGGAACGTTAAGTATATGTAGATTTCTCTCCTTACCTTGACCCTGAGCAGGGTGAAGACATACAGTATTATGTAACTCGACTCAAGTTTGCTGGATCTTAATCGATGCCAGCGTATTCCAGCCTTTCCCTACTGAAGGAGATAGAAATTTCCATCCAACCTACAAGTAGCCTTTTTAGTCCCTAGAATGAAGATCAATCGAAGTCAAGCGGGGTTATCAAAGCAGTCTCCCAAATGTAAGGGGGTATCAAGTGGAGGATATTCCATAGGAGGAGTAGAGGATAGTCGAAGCTGGTAGAGGCAATCTAACAACAAATCGATTTCTCTAACTAGCACAAAGGAACATGAAAAAGTGACACCGAGTGTCAACAGAGAAGCTAAGATTTCTAACCTGGGAGTATTAGTATTACATGCAGGTAGTAAAGAGATACATGTATATTTGAATGCCAAGGCTAACTGGAGGTAACTAACACGCGCTAATATTGTGTTATGCACACAACGCTTTATTCCTAGACCGTTTTATGACTATACGCAGTTTTGGACCGCCGAATCGAAATCTCTACGAGCCCCAGGGACTATTTGAGCTCTCTTCACGAAAGAACAAATGGCATCTGTCAAAGCAAGTCATTTTGAAATGTTCTTCCTTCACCCCACCACCCTCCAATGTACCATTTGCGAGTAAGAGGAGGGACTAGTCCCCGTACTTCCTAGTCGGGCCACAACTTGGACAATCGGAAGTACAATATACCTACTCACTCAATGTTATTTTCCCAAGGTTGAAATAAAGCTGATTGATGCTTTGGCGAGAACAAGGACCCTGGTTAACGTGGGCTGTGCGGATTTCGACGGTCTTGGCGCGACTAGAACCCCGATCGAATTGCCTCTCCATACCTGAGTTCAAGAAACTGTTAGCTGGAGGTTGCTTCCGATGAAATCGAGATCCTGGAAATTGCAAGTATCTAGCTACGAGTCCAACAAATTGTAGCCGTGATATCCGAAAAACCCTAAGAGCTGACCGACGAACCTAACCCTGAGCCTCACCGGGCTTCAAAACAGCGGCGCAGAGACAAAAATAGCTTAGAAAATCTCGGTACCGGGCCGTCCCTGTGGCTTTGCGGGATTCTCAATGCTTGGTTGAAATTTATAGCAAATGCTAGCGTCAGAATGCCTTGATGAAAGGATGTCATTTTAACTTAGCGTGGCGTTCCTGGATCCTAAAATCGGAAAAATGATGAGGACGAGCTGTATCATAAAACACCGTTCTCGATCTTTGCTAATTGGTGAGTACCTATGCTTTTTGAGACTTCTGGGTGTTGAATCGACTTGGACTGCATGAACATATTCGATTAAAGTGCGGAATGTTGATCTTGCTGCACATCAAGCCAACCTTAACTACATGTATTTCGGCGTCACACAGACCTCAACTCCAAAAACTGAACACTAGTAGACTTAGTATTCGGTTCCCTACAGAAAACACTACCACTTTCAGCAGCTATATCACCTCACGTCAAAATAAGCGGAACAAGTACGCTAGAGCATACCAAATGCATCCAAAATGAAGTCAAGTTATACTGTGCCTCATTGGTGAAATGGGGCTGAAAAAGCAACAATGTAGGTACTTGGGCTTGAGTATGCACGGTGGACTGAGGCGTGGACGTCTCGGAGCGAATAGTTTGATCTCACCCAATCGGGCTCCGGTAAGGTACGTGGGTGGCATAGATCAGATAATCAATATAAGTAGATCGAACCTTCTTCATATATCACCAAGTCTCTTTATCAAGAAAATTCTAGTTTGTATAAGGCTTCATCACATTTCTCTATCCATTAACCTCCTTCATTGATACTCAAGATGAAGTATATTCGGTCAGCCCTCGGGGTTGCCTTAGTGCTTTTCTCGTCTCTCTCTTTGCAATCTTCATCTGATGATGCTTGTGCCAAAGCCATAAAAGCAATTAATGCCACATGTGATTACATCTCTCTACAATTTATGGTAAATGATTTCTCTGACATAATTATCTCCTAGCTTCGCGAGAAATCCCAGAACTATTAGCATATGAATGCCTCACTAGCGTTCCCTTTCACCAAGATGAAGCTCTGGACACCTTACGGCAGCTGCGCCTATTCCTCCAATTCTACTCAGCTCAAACCTACTTTCTCTCACCACCCACACCCGAGCTAGAACTCGCCCCCTTCGATCTCAACAAAACACTCTCCAAGATTGAGTCACGAGTACGATATAACAAATACGAAAACGAGCACTCCTTCAATGGAGATCTATTTAACCTCTTCAGCGCATTCAGAGACACCCATGTCCGCTTCATGACAAAGTGCTACGCTGCCTTCTCTTTCGAACATGATTACCCTATCATCGCCGTGTCGGATACCCCTAGTAGTATTCCAAAAATACACGCAGTAGAGAAGGTGGGAAATGGGTGGGGGGTGCGGGATGAAATTACAAAGATCAATGGAGATGATGCAGTTGAATATCTGATGGGGATGGTGAATGTGCACCCGGAGCTGAGCTGGGTTGACCCAGACGCGAGGTGGAATCAGTTGATGGTACACTACTCGGGAAATGACTATGTGGGTGGGTTGTTTGCGAGGAGGTATACATTCGATGAGAATGAGCTTGTGTTGACCTGGGCGAATGGAACGTCAACATTAGTAGAATGGTGAGTTTTTAAAGGAGTCCTACTGGGCTTTTAGACGCGACGTTGACTTTGTTTCTATAGGAAATCCAGATTATTGGTCCCGAGGAATTCTTTCAATTCGACAGATACCTTCTACTCTAACGTCTGCATCCGCAGCGAGAAGGAGGTCGAGAAGATTCGCACTCTGTATTCTGGCTCGCTCAAATACAAAAACAAAACCGAGTCTGCCAGCAAAGCCAAGGGTAAACGGGAGGCATCACCACTTTACAAAGAGCCTCTTTGGAGTCGTTCCACAAACAGAACCATCAAGCCTATCATGTCCTTCACAGACAACATAATTCAGCTCTTCAGTCTTGACAACGAAACTGCCGTTCTCGTAATCGGAGAGTTTAAGAGCTCTGAAACACTCGTCTCCTTTGCCGGCTTCATCTCCAAGGCAATCTCGTACCTCAAAGATAAAGGGATCCCTAAAATAGTTATCGATGTCACCGGGAATGGTGGTGGAAACCTAGCTCTGGGTAACGATGCCGCTATGCAGTTCTTCCCGACAGCGGATCATTACTTTGGCACAAACATGCGGTGGAACCCGGCACTGCAAGCTATGCTTACATCCAACGTTGACCCCAACCGGACCTTCTGGGACCTGGGGCAGTACCACAGGATGGATGGGAGCGATTTCTCGAGTTACCAGGAGTTTCTGGGACCCCTGCGAAGTGATGGAGACTATTTTACGAGAATTGCAAGACCAGATCTAGCGGAGAGGAACGCGGAGAAGAAGAGCGGGAGTGCCCTACCTGCGGCGTATAAGGGGCCACAACCGTTCAAGACTGAGAATATAATAATGGTAGGTTTCTTTAACCGGTTAACCATAATTTGACTCCAATAACTGACAAACCGGACAACAGGTGTCATCCGGAATGTGCGCTAGCACCTGCGCAGTATTTGCGGAAGCCATGTCTGAACAAGGTGTCCGCTCCGTTGTATTTGGTGGCCGAGCCCGGGGCGGCCCTATGCAGACCGTCGGCGGAACGAAGGGCACCCAGGACATCTCATTCGACGACATCGCCGCCTGGGCCTACGCCCTCCTCGACGGAAAAACCGAGGCTCTTGACTATATCCCCGATGTGATGAGCCTAGCCACCATCGACGCCTCCGTCAACCTCCGCAACTCCTGGCGTAAGGACAACCAAGCACTCCCCATCGAGTTCATCTACGACCCCGCGGCATACCGTCTCTCGTACACGGCGGAGATGATCAGGTACCCGGAGGCCATGTGGAGAGCCGCTAAAGACGTTGCGTGGAACGGCGCAAAGCAGCTCGGCGATCTCCCTGTCAACGGCACAAAGAACCGTGCATCCCAAGAGGCGTCAGGAAGCACGGTGAAGCTCAAGTCCAAGAATCATTATTACAACGGCCAGAGGGCTGACTCCGTAGACAAAGAGTTAACCTGGAGTAGTATTGGACAGTTGATTTGGTATAAGCTTTACGGACGGTCAAGGTAGAGAGGGCCGGGGTTGGTGCTTAATTAGACTCTAGAGGCCGTTTTCCTTTCTTTTTTTTTTCCTTTCTCTTGGGGAGCTCGGTTTTGTATTTATGCATTCTTTTTTATTTCCTGTTGTTGTATTTTTTTTCCCTATTTCGGTTTCTCGAGCTCAGGCGCGCGTGTATATAGTTACATTTTTGATCATTGACGAGGCTGGTTGAGCCCCATCTTTTCCTGGACAAGCTTTTTGGTGCGACTTGACCTGTGCCGTATGCACACCATCCCAAGCCTAAAGCGAACAACAAGATGCACGTTTGGAATGTAGACTAAGCTTCAAAAATTTCGATACAACCCAAAAAAAGAAATAAAATAAGGCTGAAACGTCGGTGAACATCCCTTAGTTAGGCTCAGGGATGTGGATCAATGGATCGACTCGCAGCCGCAGCCACTGCCGGACCCGAGCTATGGGGTAGGTGTGGTTTGTGCTACGAGCCTCAAACTACCCCAGAATAGAGGGGTGGTTGTGGTGGTAGGAAGAGGTTGGAGAGCTAGAGGTCGAGGCTAAGATGTATGATCACAGGGAGATGAGCTCTCAAAAAGACGAGTGATCTATCATGAATAAGCCGGAAAAAAAAGAAGGAAAAATCAATCTTTACAACGTACATACCCGGCGCTTCAATATCAACAATTACAAAAGATTAATTCATTGTATTTTATCTACACCCCACCACTCTCTCTAGTTCAACTCCAGAAACCTAACGCCCCACCCAATTGCAATTAAATACTCATATGGTCATCCTATGTAGCAGTCATGCCTAACTGTTCCACTCCGCAACATAGCTCCAACTCCACCCACATTTGCCCACCTTTTTCAAAAAGTACTCCCTAGTCAGCCCCTTTCCGGGCTTACCGTCAAACTTATTTGGGTAGTACAGTGTCACCTTTGTATTCCGTGGGACCACAACATCACACACGTATCCTCGCCCTGTCCCGTCAGGCTGCATCAAGTAGAAGTTCTTCACGTCAAAGTCGTTGCCCACGTTCAGAAAGAGAACGTATTCGTCTTCTTTCCTGATTACAGGGAGGTGCTGGCATGGTAATGAGACCGCAAAGCGGGTTCGTGTACCGGGCTGAAGCCGTTTGGTTGAGGGCGAGACAGTCTCCTTACTAAAGTTGAACAGATCTGTGAACTGTTTGTAGAGCTTTGGGGGCTCTGGAGACAGAATATACTCTTCCCAGCTTATCGTGCGCCCATCTTCCCGGTACTGCTGTCCTGGTTTCTCGGGGAAGTGTTTTTGCCCAAATACACTAGCTGGGGAAATGAAGTGCTCGGGGGCAAACTCCTTTTTATATTCGTTGTTCGATCCACGATGACCGGCCCCCCAACACGAATCTATGAGATGCCAGTGGTTGCTCGAGAGCTTCACTGCGTTCCATGCGTGATTCATGTTGTAAGACGGCACTGGTGCGCCAGGGGCTGGATCAGTGTGGCCGAAGCCTTTGCCGTGGCCCGTTACCACTACACATTGAAGGCCACTGTAGGTGCAGAGAATCTCAAAGAGGTTTGAGTAACCTGCGCAGACAGAGAGGCCGGTTCGTATTGTTGATTCAGGGGACTGATCGGGAATGTTTCCTGCAAGCAGGGCACGTACGTCGTAGGAAATATTATGGTGAAGCCAGGTAAATATTACACGGGCTTTTTCAAGAGCACTTGGGAATGGAGAAGTAAGTGCTATAGCTAGGGTCTGAAGGGAACGGACTTGGGAGCGTTGAAATTGTGGGAGTGAGGCGTGATGATCAGGGCCCGAGTAGTCATAGCATATTAGACACGGCAATGTGGATGCTGTGTGGGGTTTACAAGATGGGCCTGAGGAAGGGCGACTAGAGACGGGTATGGGTGGGGGTCTTGTAGAGCGAGGGATTGGAGGTGGACTAGACCCAATAGCAGAGTCTGTATGTGATGCCGGGAGTGGGGGTCTCTGTGAAATAGGAGGAGCAGCATTGCGAACCGGGGGAGGTGGCAACCGTCTCGGGACAACAGTAGCCTCGTCAGAGTTTCTTCTAGAACCCTCTTGGATCGCTGTAGTGGTCCTACGGGTGGGAAGCGGTGGTGTTGGCCGAGGTGCTGGCAAGCTGTTTATACGCTTGGGAGGCAGCGGTGTATTTGTGATCTTCTTATCGTGAAACTGGACCGGTAAAGAATCTTTCCCAGTATAGATGGGTGGTAGCGCACGTGTACTGGATGTGCTTCCAGCATGGCTATTATTTGAGCTGGTGCTCGTAACTGAGATGATACTTTCAGTCATTGAGGATATACTGGTCTTCCGCCGGGGAAGAGGTGGAGGTGCTTGCTTCTTTGCAACACCCGAGCTTCCAGCTATAACAGAAATACTAGTAGTTGTAGTTACTCTGGTTGTGGTAGTTACGGTACTAGAGCTAGCGGGGCGCGCTGGCGGCCGAGGCGGTAGGCGCGGAGTGCCTTTCGTCGTCGAAGGGGCTGGAGGGATTGAATCGTACTGCGGGGCATGGCGGGAGACCTCCTCCAACTGCAGCGTCTGTACGCGTTCTCGGATGCTCGTAACGGTCCCTTTCTCTTGAATATGCATTTCGGTGTTTCCTCGATTAATCTGTTGGAATATTGAAGGAGCTCTCCGTGTTTGAGATTCTGATATCTGGATGTGCGAGTATGGTTTAAGGTAGTGGCTAGCGACTTCCTCTCAACCTCCCCGCGGGGGGGAAGACAGCTACTTACATACTGACTGCCTCACCTCACGCATTGTTCTCCGATTCTTTTTTTTCTGCACTCGTTACTGTTACACATACATTTCGATGACTCAACAAGTGGTGCAAACTGTTCAATGCTTGTTTCTGCAGCCGGATAAAAGGTGCCGTAACCTATTTTGGGAATCTGCTAAGCCCACTCCTCCCCTAAGGCCCAGCACTCAGAGTGATGCCGAGTGATGCGGGGGTCTTGGAATCGGGATGGTATTGGAATCTCTTGACTCGCTGTTAGCTAAGTGATCTTCTAGATTGCATGAAGAAGGAACCAGACACGCGTCATACATATCTCCCATTTGACACGCGGTTGTCTTTGACTGCTGGATAAGTTATCGTGGATGCAGCCTCGTTTCCAGAGATTAAGACACTTCAATCTCCAGGTTCTTACGTGTCGAGATAGGATCGAAATGCGTGAGATGTTCCAAGCACGGGCCACCAGAAGGTATGTGCATTGGGGAGGAGGGGGAGGAGGAGGAGGAGGAGAATCAAACGATGTCAATCCAAGGAACATGGGGTTTATGTAGGTACACAAGTACATGTACCTACATGGAGTGATGAATTCAGGTTCGCTGGGCCGCATGCGTATATCAACTCCCCTCGGGTGCCACGTGTGTTGATTCCGATACTTTGCAGCTGCAACAATGTGAGGGTCCCCAAGAATCGGTTCACCGAAAACATCTGCACCCAACGGATATAAACATGACCCGTCAATAATCAAAAAATCCACCCGATATCTGGAACCATGATGTTTGTCACACTTATTTCAGGATGATAGTGGGTTTTGATGTTGAGAAGGTCGGTCTTTTCACCTAGCTAGAAATTTACAACTATGTAAATGCATATAGATTAGTATTCTTCTTGCTGACATGAATGTATTGTCAGCACTTAAAACTCAATTTCAACTACATACAATGTACATATTACGTGTAGTTTCTCAGGAAAGTTGGGAAACTGTCGAGATGTTGATTCTCTAAATTTCCGAACTTTCCTTACCGAGCTTTGCCAGTACTTTCTTCTTGGCTAATTATAACGCGTAAGCTTCTAGAGAGATTTCACAATCTTGAAATCTGAAACTGTTTAAATCTAACCTTATTTATCCTGGAGAGGCCAATTGATACTTCATGTAGCTACAGACCTTGGCATATCGAGTTTTAGCACTCAGTCTAAGCAAGTGTGTATGAGACGCATCTACAAAATTAACACTTTGCTTGCACCTTCCCTCATGAGCCAATGACACTAGAATGTTAGGACGCCGAGAAATTTTCCAAGTACCTACTAGGGAATTAACTCTACCCCCGTGAGTACATACATGCATGTAGGTTTGTCTTAGTCGGAGAATATCAGACTTATTGCGCATAGACTACACGTCTAGCTCCAGGTCAGGCAATTACCTGATACCATGGGAAGCTGTATGAAAAAAGCCGAACTTCTCATCATCACTAACTACTATAGCACTGAGATAGGTCCGTACCAAGTTGACGATTATTTAAAGTTTATTATACGCTCAAAAAAAAGGATAGCACCTATTAGGGTGCTGATACAGCAGCTAAATCATAAACAGGGGAGATAAAAACGAAGAAAAGCAACAAAGAAAATATAATAGTAGAACAAAGCGCCTATGTTCTCTCTTCTCGAGCTCCCATAGCTCCCAAACCCAGCTGCAGCTTAATTAACGCTTCATCCGATTTTGGAAAGCACCCAACGCCGCTTGTTTTCCATAACCCAATGCCTTCTCGCCAAGTTGACTCCTCAAGGTGCTCGTCCCCAGACTTGGCTGAGTTCCCTCCGGCTTCTGAGGTCCATTCTCTGGATCGCTCGCCGCAAAGTCACTCATAGCGACTCTACCGCCTGTGGCCTTCCCAACCATATAATCGCCCTTCTGTAGCGCCTTTGCCTGTGCAGTCGCAATACCCCATTCGGCAAATACAATGGCGCAGATGGCGATGGTTGCAAGAAGGGAGAGTGCGAAGGCAGCCCAGCCAAAGCCGACGTTGGCTCCGCCAATCTTAACCTCGACGGTGTTGATGCCCATCTTCTGGACTAGTGTTGAGACGGCACCACTGGGATGTGTTAGTAGAGTTAAATGATCAATATGCGGATAAGAATAAACTTACGAAGTGACCTGCTGCAAAACCATAGTCCCCATGAGAGCCAGTGTCCCAACGGTGCACCCAACAGCCGCGATCTTCTTTGTCCACGCCGGGATTGGGATCGCCGGAATACAGTTAACCGCAATACCCAACCATCCCACCGCCATAGCAATAACAGCTACCCACACGGGTAGTGAAAAACTGATCCTGCTCCTGTAGATATCCGCAATCGCCATAAGATCCAACGGATCGCCACCAAGGTCACCAGCAACCCTCTCCAGATCCGCCGAAGTCCTAGCGCAGTCCCATCCCTCAGAGTGGTCTACACAGAGACCGCGGTATCCAACACGGATGAGACTGAATGTGGCGCTGTCGTTCTTGCTTGATGAGAGAAAGCCGTCGAGCTTTTCGAGGCCGTTGAGGACTTCGGTGGTGGTTGAGGAGTCGTTGTAGGAGAAGGAGATGAGATAGAACTTTCGGAGGGCGGGGGAGGTGGTACCGCAAAGGATGAAGGTTGTGAAGACAGTCGAGATGGTTAGGACTATCAAGGAGAAGAGCAGGACGGGCTCTAGAGAGTGGGTTAGCAAATAAGCCGGAAAAGATGGAGAAGAGGTTGTTCTTACTTGTGAACTGGCCAATACCGAATCGTGAGAGTGAGAACATCGTGAAGTGTTTATATATATGTTAAAGTAGGAAAAGGGAAAATAAATCGTAAATGAAGATGCGTATGAAAAGTGAAAGAAGTTTGTACGTTTATCAAGTAACAGGCCCTGCTGTAAATTAAAAAGAAGAGAATTGAAGAAAAGAAAGTACAAAAGAAAAACGTAAAGGCGAAACCAGTTCGATCGTAGACAAAGTTTACTGCACTGATGTGATACTGGATAGAATAATTTTCAAGTTCAACGGGAAGAATCCACAGCTTATATACAATACAACTTTCAAGCGTCTCTCCAATAGAATCGTTTGTTTGATGTTCGATTTTAGCTTTGTTGATCTCTCAATGTCTTGGGCGCTTGTTCTGGTAGCCCCCTGACGCCCGTGATTGGTCCCGCTTAAAATAGATGCAAGCTCTTTATATCACCCCAAACGTTAGGCCGAATTTCAGTTAACGCCTAGTAGATGAGTACTTTCTTTGGTGCAGCGGGAACACGCAATATAGAGGTAGATATGGATCGACAAGTGCAGGATCTGTACATGGGATTCTAGATAGAAAATCGCAACCACATGTTGCTATAGTACTAGTACCCTCAGCTTCTTCCGTCTATTAGGCAAAGGCTATTATTAGGTGAAGAATTATTGATATTCAGCTAATCAAATGTGTATCTAAAACTATCTTCGCAGGTATTTCAATATGAGAAATACATAATCTACTGAGCAGCGAAAGGCTTTGCGCGCGACTCCTCCGCGGTGAATCCGTGGAAGAACAAGATTTCAATATAAAGTAATCATCTATGTACAGGAATCAAGAATAACAGCTGTAGATACAGCCGTTGATCGTATGACTACTAACCGCTTGACAATCCATTTTGTCGCATGTACTGTACCTACATGTCAACTAAGGAGAAGACGTGTCGCAGATGAAAATCACGATATATATTTTACGCGACGACGTTTACTTCCGAAATACCGGGTATCGACAGCTGCACCTATCAATGCCCAACCATGGACACACCGTGTTTTATATAGGCGCCACAAAGATCACCAATTGGCTTGGGTCTGAAGAATTGATCCCTAAAGATCTTAAAACCAAGCTGAGGGCAGTAGGTGAGACTTAACCCCTAGACTAACGTAGTGGTTGCGGTTGCCGCCACCAATCCCAATAAGGATAGAGGACCCTGCATTTGGAGATTCGCAACAACCAATGATAGACTAGTAAGTTAATAGAGTAAACAACTGAAAAAATTTTCAAAGGTGTAAAATAGCGGCAATTTAACAGGTTCCATGGCTCAGTTGGTTAGCGCGTGGTGCTAATATAGAAATATGTTAACGCCAAGGTCGAGGGTTCGACCCCCTCTGGAACCAGTCATCATGCTAGGGAATCATCCACAGAGGTGTTTGATCTCTCGGAGCAATCTTTTTGTTTTGGGAAATTTGTTTTATGCAGCTACATCGTACCAACGACTCATTAGGGTCTTATCCAGAAGAGGGTATTAAAAAACTTTATCGGAACAGAAATACTCTTCAGTTGCTTATTAGAGTCTTATAAAGGCATTAAAATACGCTTACAGCCAGCTTATTAGAGTTTGATACGAAGAAAATGTTTCTATAAACTTCAATTGAATGCAGCTATACAAGTCTTCCTATTTATCTTGACGGCGATGTACTTACTTGTATGTAGCATAGATCCACATACTTACCTGAACGCTCGCTAGATAAAAACCCAAGCACTATTTGGCCCTACAGATCTCTAATCAGCAAAGGCCCATAACGAATACTCGGTCAAATACTCAAGCACAGACCAAAGGTATCTATAATGACCATATCCCAACCACAACCCTTTCTATAGGTTTAATAGATACATGTAAGTGCCAAGCAATGGAACCCTCGCCCTGCCAAGTGGAATTTAGCTATAGAGAGCTAGAGATACTACGTGAATCACGCAGTGAAATGGGAACCCATGACAATAGAAACCCACTGGCTGCCGTTACCGATACAGATACAGAAGATTAGGATAGGATGTTTGTATAGAGTCAGGGCTGCCAGTCGAGAGCCTGTAAATCGAGTTTTGATTTTGTGAGCACTTCAAATTCCTACCAAAAATAAACACCGGTATACAAAAGAAGTCCGAGAAGACAAGGTAATATTAGGTAGACCTTGGCGGTTTTCTCTTTGTGCTGACGTGCGCCCATCTTCACCAAGGTTGAGTATGATAATATCGAGTGATTATCTATGAACAAGGCTCATCGATCGCGATCGATTGGAAAGTACGTTATCAATCACTTATGTAAGTACATGATGTGGTAGAGATACACCCTCCGACAGCCTTTTGTTTCTTTGGTTTTATTAGAGTCTTTTAGCTGCGCGAGTTGGACAGAAAGTCGAGCAGGTTGGACAGAAAGTCTAGCTATTTTAGGAAGAGACTTGCAGCCGTTCAACCAATAAGATGTGCAGGACTTTTTGTCGAAGTGCTCGACTTTCTGTCCAACTCTTGCAGCTAAAAGACTCTATTGTAACATGTAAATGTGACCATCCGAGGCTACCACTGATATTGTGTATTAGTATACGGGGTGGGCAGTCATGCGACCTGAAGTCTTAGTCTTAGTCTGGCCTCTAGATTTCGAGGGTGAATGAGGATGAGTCTTTGTCGGAGTTATGAGGTCCTACCCGCGACAGTACCAGCAAAAGAATCAAAGGAAACACTGGGGCAGCCAGTGTTGGATGGTAAGTGGTTCCAGAGGGGGTCGAACCCTCGACCTTGGCGTTAACATATTACTATATTAGCACCACGCGCTAACCAACTGAGCCATGGAACCATGATGTCATCAACATTTTGGTTATTTATCAGCCTTCCCTACCTAGAATCATTCGCGGGGGTTATATTTCAGAAATGACTGCCCGCAGTGCGCATGCACATGGTTTGGGGTAAGACTTTGCATGGTAGTTTAGTCATCCGTATCAAATACTTAGCTGCATGTAGGCAGATATCATTAGGCTTGAGACAGCGACCGCTTCACATTTTCACAAGAACCCCGCAAATATGATGACCCGCCGCCTACTCCTCCTCGTCGATTTCGACGAGACTCTGACCCGGACAGGAAAAGATACAATCTCTCTGCTAGCATCCGCGGCCTATAAATGCCACTCAGCAGCAGCAAATCTGCCACCATGGAGTTATTTCGTGGATTCTTATATGCGTGACTACAACGATCATGTTGGGCAGGCACCAATACGAACAACACTAGAAGAAGAAACGGAGTTCCAAAAGTCTTTGAGAAAAGCGGAGAGAGCGAGTATCGATCGGGTTGAGGGAGAGGGGGTGTTCAAGGGTATCAAGTTGGAGACACTGATTAAAACTGCGGCGGAGAACAGGGGGGACATCATGAGGAAGGGGTGGGAGAAGGTTGTAGATAAAGTTAGCGGGAGAGGGAGGGTAGCCATTGTCAGTGTTAATTGGAGTAGATCGTGGATTAGGAAATGTCTTGAGGGCTCCGATGTTGGGAAAATCGACGTCTTTTCGAATGAGTTTCTAGTCAATAGTCAGGACATCACAACCGGAAGTTTGGACCGATGGTTTGGTGATAAGGATGGTGGGATCTGGACGGGGTGGGATAAGTTACGGGTTATGAGAGATATTGTCGAGAAGAACTCTGGTGCCGGAGAGGAATGTTTAGTGGTTTACGTTGGTGATTCAACATCAGATCTGCTGTGTTTACTGGAGGCAGATGTGGGGGTAGTTTTCGGAGAGAAGTTGGACAAGTCGTGTGATACGCTGGGAATAGAGATAAGGGAAGGTTTGACGAAAGGATACGTTGGAAAAAGCGGAGTAAGTTGTTTGGCTAGAGTGGAGCAGTGGAGGGAGATAGAGGAATGGGTTGAGGGACTTTGAGTTTCCATGACAATTGGAAATAAGGCCTTTGTTCATCTAAACAGCGGCTAAAATATTTTACACATATTCGTGTACAACAGGATTGATAAAGTTCTAGAAACTCTAGATCAGATGGCACCGTTTCCGCCGTTGCATTCTTCACTACTTGTCCGACTTATTTTCTATCTTCGTTCAATGCAACTCCACTCCCTTATCTTTATCAGTAGCCTTCAAGTGAGAGCGTGTTCGCCAAAACTTTCTACAATTTGATCCACCCACTCTACATGGCTTCGGTTACAAAGGCTGTGGAATAGATGGGGAAACACGTACTGCAATATGCACCAGTCGAGGCAGGATCTATTACGGCCGCACCACTCTCTGCACCTCCTGGAGTTCTGCACTCGTGAGCAGATTATGAGGTTCCATTTAGGTGAAACATTCTTATATGGCCATGGAGTCATCGGACACTACTGATCTGCCTTGGGAAACCCGTGAGCACTTCATTGTTACTGAGGTATTTCTCAAATCTTACCACCCTGGCTGGCATCGTTTACAACTTTAGTTTGACGGCTTTGATCCCAACTCAGTCCACTGTCAGACAAGGGGCAAAGAAGGCCCCGAATGTACTCAACAGAATGGATAATCCAATCAGGAAGCCCTTGCTTCCATCTTTATCTTTGCATATCTGATGGATCATAAATCCCTAGCGTGGGACGGGCCGATACATACATGTAGTATGCATTCCCTGTACGAGACTTCGGGATCCCCAGCATAGCCCCACGGCCGTACCGTTTTCTCAGTTAACCAGGGCTAGGGTTTACTACCACAACAAGACATCCCCGCATCCTAACAGATAGAAATATTACTCGCGGCATATTATTAACGTAATATTCACCAATAACTACCGGTGGTAACGAGAAAATCAACGTCCTGTTTGAAAGAGGACCAAGGAACGGGTACACAAGACAGGCACAACATTCCATTCTTCCTTACGTACTATGAGTTTAGCCAGAAACTTGTCTGAGTGAGCGATAGACCCTCTGGTAGATTACACAGCCGATCGATGGCCCTTTGGTCTCAATATTAACAGTGCAGAGTTTGTCACATGCAGCGGTATCATACACGTGCAAGAATCGATCGTACAATCGATCAAAGTTCCAGTGGAGGCCTATTTTTCTTGGCCCATAGTTATCATAAGGTCACTGTACAAGCTTTTATGTAGCTCTTGATATTATATACATTCCATATGTACATTTTACCATGATATATGAGAACAAAGGTCCCGGATATACAAAAAGGACTCCTCGTCCTTACTATATGCGTTACTCTACTTACGATGTACCGGGTGTGCACGTTAAATACCGAGACGCCTTGAAGGATTGGTTGATTTTGTATGGGAACCGCCCATGGTAACCAAAAGCAGCCAATGAATTTTGGCCTTGGCCTCAAAATTTATATGGTGGAAAAAAATACCGAGACGTTTTATCTATCTTCACTTAAAAATTCAAATATTTTCCTAAAAATACAAAAAAATAACCACTGAATAGCCCTTGTTCACAGGTTCATCTGAGTACTGATTCGAAGTTATCAAAGAAGTTTTGGTGAAGTTCGAAAAGAACAGGAGTAGAAAAGAACAGGAGTAGAAAAGAACAGGAGTAGAAAAGAGGTTGAGGAGGTTGCGTTGCAAAAGCTGCGGGGCAGACTGTCCAAATACCTGCTTGGCTGCCAAGTGTCATTTTAATTATATCAGATTCCTTTACAAACCCTCACTTTTTAAAATTCCCCAAAAAGGGGTTCTCAGTACTTACCCTCAACCCCCGGTACATGTGTACTTCAACTTGCGAGAAACCACCAACGAGAAACAACCAGTGCGTATGTAGCCTATCTAAACTGCAACCGGAAAAGTATTAACATTATCCTTGCTCAAAGCCAAGGAAGTAACGGTAGAAACCGCGATGACCATCCAATTAATTTTAGACATTTTGTGATAGAACCCATCTCATCACATCCTCCTCCAAAGTCTCATCTGTCCCAAGTTTCAGGAACCTCGTGATGTCTCCACCAACCCGCCCCCATCCCTTTAATGGCGGGTGACAGGTAAGTGGCTAAGGAATACTTACATATTTCAGGCAAGACCAAGTATGTATGTATCCCATCTAGGTACCAAGTGATCAAGGCAGCCGAGTTAAGATCAAACAAGTTGCATGTACACTACGAAGTCTTGACCTTTGTGTTCTGAGCTTTTTGAGAGAGAGTTTTTTGACAAAAATATGGACCAAAAACATTTTTTCATAGTGTTCCCGCAAATGCTACTATTAGATGCAAAAGCGTACAAATGTTCAAACCACAGAAACCTACCATCATTGATATCTGTTGTATCCCCTACACGCCATACTCAAGTGGGTATTCCGGTAATATCATGCGGTGTAATGAAGGCTGTCTTTACCCTTGCCAGTAACCCCACGCCATTTAGGGCTTCGCCGTTCAGTTTACTCAACACGAAGGCAGATAAGTAGTGAAACAACCAATAGTAGTGGCCTAATACTGCTACTATCACTTTATTAGCTACCCCGCTCGATGCGCCGAGCGCTTAACGTCTTTAGTTAGGAGTGATGGGGAAACGGGAGGGTGGTTGAGAAAGACGTTTTGGTGGCCGGACGCGATGAATGCTCCCGCGGTTACTGACTTTGGGGGCACTATAAGGAGTTTCAGTAAGGGTCTAGAGAGGAGAATAATTAGTATAAAAGGCCCCTCGCAATCCCTAGATGTCCCTCTTCTTTCTTACACCACCACGCTCAAAACCTTCAATCCTATCATTACCAACCAAACAAACACTTTACCAAACCCCCAACTCCAAACACCAAAACTATCAAAATGGGTGGATGCACTTGCGCTTCTTGCTGCTCCGGATCCTGCTCCGGATCCTGCTCCGGATGCGGAACTTGCAGCGTAGGTTTTCCCATATGGATAGCATCTCTTGAATTAATGAGCTAATCAGTGACAATAGCACTAAATCACCACTCTTTATCTCCCACCCTCCGCCTTCAATCGATACCCGCCCATAAGCATCGAAAATCTGCCATCTAGACAATAGGTTAATTGGGGGTTTAGAGGGCTTGACAGCATTGGGAAAGATGGAGGAAATGAAAGTTTCGGAATGGTTGCGGGAACTGTAGTTTTTCATTTGTTCAATATCAAATAAACCATATAACAATCAAACCACTGTGCATGTTTAATCAAAGGGCGAGGAGTGAAGTGATGAAAAGTATGGATCGAGAGAGGGGGTAGGCCTAGATAGTAGAAGCTGTTTCTTAGTTAGTGTAATAATATATGATTAGAGGCTGTATAGATTAGTCCTGGTTAGAGAGTAAGTATTTTAACCTGTACTTGATGACATACATATTGAATGAATATTGGTTAGAACCTGAGAATAGTATTAGCGTATTCTCACATAGCCAATTCCGGCCTGTATCCGGCGTCTCAGCATACTGTCGGCTAGCCTGAATAGAGACCTGTAAGGTAATAAGGATAAACGGTCATATGTCGGGAAGAAATAATCTAAATAATAGAAGCTGCATTGGTGAGTAAGTCATGTAGGCGGTCAAACCTCCCCGATATTAGTATTGTTAAGCCCGAAGCACCTAAGGAGGATACCTAGTTATTAGAAGTTAATGAGATACATTCAAAAGGAAAATAGACGCCTGTGTTCGTTGTGTAATAAAATTGGTTAATATAAAAAGGGTGCGGCCCATCTTTTTCCAAGGCGTGTAAAGATCGGTTCAAAACCTAACTCTACTTATAAACGCTGAGCCCTATCATCTTGATAAAGGAGGTTAGTTATTTCGAAGCTTTCTGCCTACCCCCCGTCCTCGCGCGAAGTCGGGAAGATGTGTTTGAGATAGATGCGACCGTAGGGAATAGCCAAATCCTGTGTTAATATTTGGTAGTAACTTCTTATCATTGATCCATCAATAACGACCCAGATCTGTGTAGGTAATGATAAGATAAGAAGCGTGTTTTAGGTGAGTATAGCAGAGACGATGCGGTCAAAGAGGCCTCACTTCCTCGCAGGCCAGGTGGTATTAAAAAAGAGTTGGAGAAAAAAGAGAAACAGGGGCGGGGGGCCAGGTAAACATACAGCCGGCATAATGAGGACCTTGGGGGCTACATCTATCCACCAAGGTGTCCACTCCCCCTCGCACGAAAAAAATGATAATTCAGTGCCCGCAAGCGATCGGAACGAAAGACCGATCAAGAATGCATATCTTGTCTTGGGAATGGATTGTGTGGCAGCGAATTATGGGTATACGTAGAGCTTTATGTTTCGCTCTAATTAACACAGAGATCCAAAGATACCTATGCAGAGAAAATAAACCGTAACTATTTTATAAGGGTTTATTCTAGTTACATTCACTTATCTAGTTCACGAGCCTCACTTTTCTAAGATTCCACCAAAAAATGCCAATACACGTTAAGAGTACGTACTATACATGTAGCTCTTGTTATTGTTGGTAGGTTCATGCATGATACATCACTCGTGACGCTTGGCTGACTAACTTAGCTGACTAAGCATACATAAAATATCACTCGGATGAGAAGCAAGTAGCACTTGTCCCATCATTATGTTCTAAGCCATTAAAATCTTATAATTCACGCGTTATAAAACACTCTGATTTTATGTCGAAATTCTGCGAAAACAGCGCTGCCACAAAAAAAAAATGTACTTTCGTAGTTGACTGGAAGCCATCCAGTGTATATTCTCAAGGTGCTCAAGCCTTACAGGTCTTGCATACCAAGGGCTCACTACATCAAATTCTGTTGAACAAGACTAGGGAACATGAAATTTCCCTATTCAAAGGAGGAGAAAGAATAAGGCTTGTAAACATGATATCTACACCTTCAGCGGCTAGTAGTGAGGTGCTAATTTTTGGCACCCCGAGAAGACATTGTAGTGCCCAGGTCATTGGAAGTGTGGGAGTCGTAATCAGACTACCAGGTAAGTAAATCTATAGACCTAAGGTGGGGGGGGGGGGGGGGGGGTCTACAGATCACATCTGAACGCCTACAAACCTTCAAAAATATCTATGGGATGGCTTCCACTGTAAATCTGTCTTGGTCGAGTGAGAGGCATGCCACTACAAATCTCATAACATCTACGTGGAATCATGTTAGAATTTAACTCTTGAGAATCATGATTACGGTCTCTGGCATCGAAATAGATTATGACTCCTTATATTTGCTCCTTTCACTATAGGTCAATGGAGTAAGTGAACATTATTCCTTGTATCATTGTATTCCTAACGCGATGCTCAAAAGAACACACTCCAGTTTCAAACACCGCGTAACTCATGAAACTCCATTCTCAAAGAAATCCTAAATTACCAAAAGAAAGAAAAAGAATCTACAATAGGTTTTGAAGAAAACTGCGTATTTACTCTTATGCGGTGGAGGGAAAAAAAAAATCAACAAGAAGTCTCGCCGAGATGAGGATAAACAAGATCTTATACAAGGGGAAGAATGAAAACTCGGCCTAAAAATGATGAGGAAAGAAAGACAATGGAAGGTCCTTGGCGGTTTTCTTTCTGATAATTAAGCATAAGCATGCATACTATCCAACTGTCCTGTCCCCTTGAGATCATTTTCGAATCCCTCGGCCACATCAAGTACCGTCTTGATGTGTTTAATTGATAGCGTCTCACTCTTATTATTCGCGAGTGCCTGGGCAGTTCTAACCGAGTTCTTGATCTAAATACCCACGGTGTCAGTGAATCAATAGTGTTAGGGTATTATAAGATACGAAGAGAATGACAAACCTGTCGTCCGTTGAGCTTTCTCTTTGCTAGCCACTCAACCTCCTCTTGTGTCAATACGTCTGGCGCATCAGCCCCGTACTTCACTCTCACCATTTCCAGGAACATCTTCCAAATTTTGGCCTTGGCTTTGAAACCGAGCTCGTTGTATCTCAGAGCAACATGGATTCTGCTTTGGAAAGCATCATCAAATGTTTCGACCCGATTCGTCGTCAGAAATAGAATACCCTGGAAATATTCTAATACACGTAGGAAAATTGACACCAGTGCATTCCGGTGCATGTCTGCCATTGTTCGTCGTTCAAGGAATACGTCGGCTTCGTCAAGAAGTAGCACTGCCCCCCAAGAATGTGCAATGTCCAATATCTTATTGAGTTCTTGTTCAAGGGAAGCTGGATTAGTACCTAGCTCCCCTGAAGAAACACAATAAAGCGGTTTCCTTAGGAGTTCGGCAATTCCCTCTGCAGTCAATGTCTTACCAACACCTGGAGGGCCATGGAGGACCGAGACAAGACCCCGCCCCTTGCCCTGGATTACATCGTCAATAGTTGATGACTCAATGTTCTTCCCAGTATGAGACTCGACAAGGGCCTTGACGATGGTTTTTTGAGCATCAGGTAGAACCAAAGATTCGAATGCCTTGTCATTCCACTGGATCTCTTCAACACCAGAAACAGCGAATTCCACTAAGGTTATAATATGTTAGCTTTTTGGCTTTTAAATCGAGGGACTAAACTTACGCCAGTATTTCTCTGTGAAAGCCCATCCAAGAACCACTGGCGATGCAGTAAGGAGCTCTTCATCGGTAAAGACAGGTTCAACTTCCTCCTCTTGCTCATCCACCCTCTCGACTTTCATCTTCTTTACGTTTTCTTGCTCTTTTGTGACGACCTGGTAGTTACCTTTGTCATCGACTACGACCTTCAATCGTTCCAATTCCTTTTCTTCCTCGGTTTTGCTATCATCTTCCCCGCTGCAGCAACATTCAGTACATTCGCCACCTTCGCCCTCTTCGGACTCATGTTCCTCTCCATTATTGTTATTATTCTCGGCCTCTTCATCATCGTCGTACCGGGATCTAATTGAGGAAATGACATAGTTGGGATTTATACGCCGGAATGTGGCAGGGTCAATCATAATCCGACCTTTAACCTACTCGGATGTTAGCATCTCCCTGATGTGAAAACGAACGATTGGAAGCTGGCTTACATGAATTTTAACATATTGACGCTTCTTCCGGATGAACGCGATTCCGTTATGCATCTTGTATTGCATCCCTCTCAAGGATACAAACTTCTGTCCCCGTTCAACGAGGGTTTTCTATGTAGAATAAGTATAACAGCTTGCTAAGTCACTAGGTACCAAAGATAACTCACCCTCATAGCATCTTTATCCTTTCTGAAATCCAATGGATAAGATGATAACGAAGTAATCTTCCTTGCACCCTTAAACCCTTCAATATCGACGCTGACTGTTCCCCAACCAAAACCTCCTCCCTCGACATCTCCAGCCTCTACAGGTCCATCCTTTCCGTCATATTCCAGATATTTACCTTCGATGGCCCACCATTTCCCTCTCATGAAGCTGGACTCCTTCTGCGCGTATTCTAGTTTGAAAGCTCTTGGCTCGTTGCTCCCTGCACAAGTGGTATACATGATGACTCCAGGTTTCAACAGGGCCCAGAGTAGATCGAACGTAATCATGGAGTTCTCCAACAGAGGGAAGAGAGCTGCTTTGGTGGGGGCATAGTCCGTATTTAGGTATTCGATAAGAAGTTTGACTTGGTCGATTTGCTGGGAAACCTCTGCAGCGGTTAACGGAGGAGGAACGGGTTTGCCTGTTACGGGCCCGGTCGGTTTGGGGGGTTCTTTCTCCGGTACACCCTTGAGCTTTGACATCTTCTCGACCCATGCTTCAAAGTCGGGGAGAAAGTTGAATAACATATTTGGGTCAACCGAGGGAATATCCTCAACTAAAGAAACGCCTCTAACATCCCCAATTATTCTAGTAAGGGCCTCTTTGAGAAGAGGAGACTTGATGTCGACCTGGGTCTCAAGGTACTTGTTTTCGTAATCAAAGACACGGCGGACCGTAAAGATGAATGAGGAGTATTTGTCTGTTTTGGGGTGAGGGACCGTGTCGCAGATCTTGTAGTCGTGCAGTTCCTTGTCGTAAACTACAGTGGGAGTCAGTAAGCAGAAAGAAAAAAGCTTGCGGAATGTCTTCCCCGTTACTAAAACTTGTTCAATCGTTTGGGGACTCACGCTCATCAACACGCTTATATTCCAGAACACTAGCTCTATCTTCAGTCTTCTCCTCCCCGCCATCCTTCTTTTCATCTTCATTTTCCGCATTCTCTGATTCTTTTTCTGCCTTTTTGGCCTTCTTCTTTTCTTTCTTGGCCTTCCTAGCTTTGGCCTTCTTCTTTTTCTCCTTCTGTCGTCTCTGCTTTGACTTGGATGATTTTGCTAAGATCAACCTGATCGCAGCTGCCAAGGCCTCATCCCCATCAACCTCCGAATCTGAGGAGGATGAGAATGATGACGAATCTGAGGAGGATGAGGAGCCATCGGAACCGCTGGATCCGTCGCTGTCAGAGGAGCTTTCGTCATCATCAGAGGAGGAGGTCTCTGCTTTCTTTGACTTCTTCCCTTTCTTACTTGATTTTGCTGACTTTTTATCCTTCTTCGACTTCTTCTTCTCTTTTCCCTCTTTTTCTTTCTTCTCCTGGTCCTTCTTCCCCTGTTCCTTCTTCTCCTTCTCCTCTTTGTCCTTTCGCTCACGCTCCTCTTTCTCAGCTTTCTCCTTCTCCTCCATCTCTTTCTTTGCCTTTTCCTTTTCCTTTTCTTTCTCCTCTGCCTCCTTCTTCTTCTTGTGGATGCACTTTCCCTTGGGCTTTGGCTTACTGGCAGATTCGGTTTCTATAGCTGCAGTGGATGGGGCGCTCGTGGATGAAGTAGCAATCGGATCCGCAGGGGTATTTGACCCCGCTTCCGTTGTTGGTGTTGTCATGGTAGACGGTGTACTGGCGGTGTTGGGGGTTTCGGAGGGCGTTTCTTTGGGAAACAGCTCTTCAGAAAGGGTAGATGTTGACGACGCCATGATTACGCTTTTTTCTTTCTTTTTCTTTCAATACTGAAATCGTATCTAGCGAATGGGGCAAAGACAAGTTGCACTGGTAATAGTGGTTGGGGGGATATATAATAGATAGGTAGCAATCTCACTGAAGCTTCGGGAGCTCAGTGGCGATACAAGACAGCTCTGCGTGATCTTTCACTGTCTCGGGAGATGATGGATGAGGAGTAAAGGGCTGTTGCGCGAGGAGAGGAGGGTATTTAAGGATTCGCCTACAGAATAAGACCCGTTCTTCAAAGAGTCAGAGGCAGTGCAGCGGTAGATGTGACCAACAACTGTGTTCTGTTTTGCTCGGTTGCTTGCCTTAAGGCTTCCCCGGTTTATTACCCTTGCGTGTTCGTTGTCTTGCTACAAACCTCTCGGCGCAGCAGCCAATTACTCTACACGACCTACATGGTACTCTGCTGCACTAAGTGGAATTTATTGCAACCTCGCCTCACAGTGCCCCACTGTCACGCTCCCCGGCGGGATGGACAAGTGCTATTGGTGGTGGTCTCTGCAAGTTCGTCAGTTCCATAAGCAAAGATCAGCATCCATGTGTCACACAATGCATGCACTACGCTCGGTTTTCTGCGGTTGGTTGGGCTGAGATGAATCTCAAGGCTAACCATCAACCCATCATCTCGCTCAACAGACAGGGCTGAAAAAAAGGAAGTGACTCAGGAGGAATAAAAGCTTTCAGCCTCATTGTATAAAGTCCTGAGTCATTGTGGGTAATCGAGAATTATCTCAAGCTTGCTCTGTGCGAGATCTTCGCATGTAGCCTAGAGATGACCTACTATGATGCTCATTGCAAGTATCCAATTGCAAAAACAACTGCAGTCTTGCGGCCATCGGCGGAATATTCACTACAATTGCATATGGATTTTATCCTGGAATTTTCCTGGCAAGCTAAATTCCAACCTGATCTTGCCGCATAAGTGGTATCTAGACCGTCCTCGATGTCTTCAACCCCTCATCCTCGCTCCTGCGGCTGATACACTTACATCCGACCGCGTCTCCCTCTTTGTTACTCAAGCGAGTCATATATGCGCTTAACCGCATAATAAAACGAAAGGTATATGTAGCTTGGAGTTAAAAGTAGTCTTAGAACGTCGTACTATGCTGATATCTCCATGAGGATCCAGGTTTCTGTCTATCTGTCTTCTTCCACTCTAAGCTACCTCAAGTGGGGTTTCATTGATTGATTAGCAGAGCTTAGGGACACTTGCATATTGCTAGGAATCATGCTGACTATGCACTGTAGGAAAATCCTTGAAGCTCAGGGTCCCTAAGGAAATCCCTGTTTGGCTTGATATCTATTATCTAGGCGAGTTCGTTTTGAGGCTCAAAGTTGCGGCATGCTAGAAGACTTCTGGTTGGTTGAAGACCGGTTGAGTAAGACCAAAAGGATCATCGGTGCTGGAAACTTTGGGGGCTGCCTGGGGGTGATCGGCGAAACTAATCACGTCCGTGGAACCCCACTAGGTAGGTACTCTGGAGTACGCCACCTTTAGAACAGTTCGAGGTCTTCAGAAGTCAGAAGAATGTGGTCTTCGCATCTTAATATTAGCGACAATTCTCCATCTTGTGTGAAACAAGACCTGGGAAGCTATATTTGGACAAGGAGGCGGCGAGTGCGGGGCGACACTGAGCCAGCGTGACACACCGGTATACTCTGCACGACAAGCCGGCGGGGAATACGACAAGCTATATAACGCTACTTAGTTCCATAGCGGCGATGATCCAAGCCTGAAATACGTTATCTACTGGGGGGTATTGAGTATTTTTTTCTTCACCGGGAGCTACATGTTAGCATGACCAACAGGCGCGGGTAGTGCTTCGCTCAACAAACCTAATCATATGAAAAAGCGTGACATTCGACATTGGGAAATTTCCTCGCCCAATCATAGGCACTATCTGTGGCATGTGACGTCGCTATTGCACTTTTCACGGGCTGGGCTAGAATACTGTGCATGAGAATTCTGGCAGTTCTGATTGAGGCTCAACGTTCATTCGACAAAGCAGAAAGCAGTGGTCCGTCAATATCGAGTCCTCACGGTATTCTGCAGGAAGTAACTAGGCTCTTACCCAGCCCTCCTAACGAGAATAGGAAATAACCTAGGTTCCAAATATCGATTAGGTTCACAAAGACCCGAGAGGATTTTTCATCCGCGACTTTTTCAGAGTCCTTATCGTGATGACCCGAGGCGCTACTGGATAGATACTGGTCATGCAAGACGCGCGCAAGAACAGATTCTTGAGGAGTGTAAGATATTTCTATTCTCCGGTTATAAGGGGTTTTGGTATGATTTCAATATTGGTATATGGAATATCTGGGAACTTGGAGATGCTGTTTACGGGGAGAAATTAGAGGTAGGATCAGTACATGATCATGAATGAGTAACTGTTGAGCACTAGCGGATATGATATGGGAAAAGCGAATCTGTCAAGGTGGGAAAATCTAATCACTAGCAAAAAGAAAAAGAAAAAGAAAAAGAAAGACATATGAAACACGCATTCCGACAGGAAGTCAGTCCCTACTAAGAAAAAGCAACCCCACAAAACAAACAAGATCCTACAAAAGAAAAAGAAACGCGACGCCGAGTGATCCTCCATGAACAAGGAAATTAAGCCAATCCCAAACGCCCCACCAGAGAGACAAAACACCACAAGCATATCCCTCAAGCCATGCCGCCATTAACCCTCATATTCTGCCCATTAACCCACGCCGACTCATGCCCCGCCAAAAAGCTCACCACATTCGCCACCTCCTCCGGCGTGCCAATCCTCCCCATCGGGTTCCACCCCGCAATCATATCCACCACCTCCTGCGGCTTCCCATTATAAAACAGATCCGTCCCCGTCGGCCCGGGTGAAACACAATTGACACAGATCCCCCTCCTCCCTAGATCCTTCGCCAGCACCCTCGTCATCTGCTCCACCGCCCCTTTCGTCGCAATATACAACAAATAATTCGGCGTGACCGTCGTCGCGGCCGTCAGCGACGTGCTGAAAAACACCACCCTGCCCCCCGCGGGTATATGCGGTGCCGCGGCCTGGGTGATGAAGTACGGGCCCTTCACGTTGACGGCGAAGGTGCCGTCGAACTCGGCCTCCGTCGTGGCGGCCAGGCCGCGATTCGGTAGTACCCCGGCGTTGAGGACCAGGATGTCGATGCGGCCGTAGCGGGAGACGGTCTCGTCGACGAGGCGCTTGGACTCGGTGACGCTGCTGACGTCGGCTTTGATGTGGTGGGAGCGGGAGGGGCCGAGCTGGGCGACGAGGGCGGCGGCGGGCGCGGCGTCGCGAGAGTAGTTGATTATTACGGTTGCGCCTTGGGAGTGGAGCTTTGTGGCGATGGAGGCGCCGATTCCTTTGGAGGCGCCGGTGATGAGGGCTATCTTGCCGGTGAGGGGGAGGGGGGATTTGGGTGAAGCCTTTCCGTGGGGTTTGGTGGAGGGGGAGGAGGAGGATGGCTGTGGTGGGATTTCGGGAGAGGGGGAGAGGGAGGGCGCGGTGGATTTGGGGTAGGTCTTGGATTTGAAGAATTTGCCGAGGCCGCACATTTTGATTGCTTTTGTTTGTGTTAGGATGGGTTTGTGTGTAGAGGTTGATTGCAGATGTTAATTGTAGAGTTGCTGATGTCCTGATGTCCTGATATCCTGATGTGCTGTGCCGAATATGAAAACACCTGACAGAGCTGGACTCTGTTCTTATATATATATATATATCCTCTTTCAAGACCATCCTCTCAGGGCCTCCGTCACCCCTTTCAGATGTGCCAGCATAGTCGACATCATCGCAAGTATCCAGGATAACGTTTGTTGTTTCTCGACGTTGGAGTTTACCAGCACCGAGCCGCTGTACGTACGAGTGGTCTCTCTTTCCGCGCCTGTCTTCCTTTATCTCCGGCTCGGGTTAACCACGGCTGATCGACCACATGCGTGCGCGTGCATGCAGAACCCAGCTGATTGGCGGAGGGGGGCCGTTACTCGGATTCCACCACTGGGATGATGGCAGCAGGCTGGAGACAACACGCCGGCCGGGAGCAAGGAGTTAAGGCTCTCATCCTCCTCTCCAGCACCACCGTTGAGAACTTGGGTGCTCACTCTATAGATCTAACTTGATCAGGTGGATAACCAGATAGTACAAGTTCCTCTGCAGTGCTGGGCTCGCTCGATACGCGACAAATATTTGCGGCTCAAAACAGATAAGCACTTGACGGTGCATCGCATCCGGTTAACTCCAGAATAGTAATCATTTCCAGTACGGGCGCACGGGTCTCTGTCGGCCGCAATACTGCAACACCGCAACACCGCAACACCGCAGATATATGCGTACCTGAAGGTGTCAGTGGAGATAGGCCGGCCGCTTGTAATGTGCTCGGCCGGGGATGCAGGTTATCTTCGGCGCGTTTAAGGTGTGGTCTTTGTGTCTGTTTTTTATAGTGAACGTTTTGAGTGTTACGGGATAGGGATTTTGGTGGGAATCGAGTGAGCGTCCATGACTACGAGTTTAACACATGAATCTATGCACAACCAGAAACGGGTATGTTCTCGGCCCCGTAGAAGTGACTTCATTAAAATAATTACTTGGAGGATGATATTAGGAGTGACATCTTTTGCTCATCTCAAATGACGGCAAGGCTGAAACTGCTGGTATACATCCGCAGTAGTACGCACAAATAAGCTTTCATCAAGACGTGCCGCAAGACTATATAATGAGATTGATATGTACAAGCAAAGCTTCTGTACCTCACTCAGCCTTGTGTATCAATCAATTTGAATTCCCAGCTTCCGCTGTCCTCAAGACGGGGACCCGGATATGGACCGTAATATTATCCCAATTTTATGAGCCAGTACGTCAATGTCAGCCAGAATTAAATGAGGGTGAATGAATTGTACATCCTACAGCTACCAATATACAAAAAGCTTATTTATCCCTTCTAAGCGCATGTACACATGCAGGCAGGGAGGCAGGCATGTACTCTATGTACCTACATGTACGTCCTTGGTCCCTCCCGCTCTCTACCGGGGATACCTCCAAGGAGAAACAGACATTGCACGCGCACGTACGCGTGGGAACCGCTCTTCTGGGTTCAGTACACAGGGCTGGCCATGGCATTTGGGGTGCAATCAAACCCCTTTTACTGAGATACTCCAACGCGGGGGGTACCATTCTTCTAATATCGCAGCCTTGTTGCTAGCTAATATAGCATGGTTCGTATCATATCGACACGCAAATATACCAGCATATACTCGCAATTTTAACATCATATGAACCGAATTGCACACGCTACGGACATATCCACAACGATGCTTTCCTCGTCATTGGTATCGCGACCATGAACTTCAGTGACCATTGGCTGAAGTGCTTATCAACTCTCCTATCGTATGGTCCGGTCCGCACGGGCTATATATCATCACGATATATTCCGCTGCCCTCTGTTTCGAAGCTAACCGCTATCAATCCATAAGCCAAGATATAGTAGAATAGAGTAGAGCGCCATGTTGTAGTAAGTACTGATAAAGTTGGTAGGATTTCTTTTTTCTAGCCACTGATCGGAGGATCCCGGTTACGCCCTCGTAACCTAGTGCGGGAGTGGGGTAAGTTATCTATCTCTCTCGAGAGAGGGAGCGCACCCCCTAAGGAAGATACAAGAGCTGAAAATTCGCCTAAAAGTTCCGCATTGAAGGGTTTGGCGGGTTTGCGCAGTTGTGTTGTCTGTTTACAGAACTATGGGTAGGCGGGTAAACTTGTTCGGGGTCCTACAGAATAGGTGCTGGTGGGGATCGTTTATGACCTTCGGGTGCTACAAGAAGATGTGTCTGTCTGTAGAGGTCGTTTAGGTCGTGGGAGGTGTGGTCTGGCCAAAGATGCTACTACGTTTGTCTATCCTCAATTGCATGTGCCTCTATGAGACATATGTTGAACCATCCTTCACGAGCACAGGAAGAAAACATCGAGAAGTCGAGCTGTCTATCAAAATCTTTAAAGCTTGGATCGCATCTCGCGACTTGCGAGACATCGCATTCCTAACCGATGTCTCAGCCAGCCAGCCCACAGATTGTGGCACATGTCAGGGAACCATCCATCAACCACATCCACCAACGCACATACAACCTCAACTTGGTACGTACTTGACGATAAGCTTAGGCGCAGAGACAGATACAGATACGCAACATAAAGTATTTGCGCCGTTCGTACCTGAGCTATAAATTAACCGAAATTGCCACATACTTAACTAATTAATGAACAGCTTTTATCAATCGCTAGAAAGTTCCCAGCAGACTTTGGTTTAGTCTCTGCGCTGCGCGGCGATTGTGGACTTGCTTGTGGGACAACAAAGAACCACAATCCCCAAAGCTATCATACTGCCTCCCTAGTGCGAACACTGTGCCTTATATCTGCTTCTCTAGATGCCTCTTGGTACGAAAAGATCGGGCCGGGTTCGTTACACCGGCTGCCTGCCTTTCTGGGTTTTGGGAGTTTCATCCATGCTCAACTTGGGTTCCTGGATACCGATATAGAAATCGTCCGTCGCACACCAAGGTGCTGAACATGCAGCTTTTATTTTATTTCGCACAACAAAAGTGCAGCCAGATGGTGGAACCAGTGCACGAGAGCAAAAAGAGTTGCCGCCACAGTCTTCATAAAATCTCCTGATATTCTCGCTGCCAATCACGGGATGGCCGATTATCATGGAGCTTCGTGAGGTGAGGTGCATATATTGCACTTTGGCTGCTGCATGCAGGACATCATCTTAGCAGGTACCTACATAGGAAGATTCCTTTATTATCGCTTGTGGATCCTAAGTATAGGCTGCTCAATCAAATTACCCACCGTCTTACCCACATCTGGATAACTTTATCTAAACAGCCGACCCAGCGACAGGGGTACTACGGTTATGAAGATTGGGTTCTTTGAGATCCAGAGCTTGTTACCTGGGCAATGCTATAGAATAGATGTAACTATGTAGCCTTAGTCAAATTTGAGCGGTCCACGGCCGTGGTGAGCAGTAGGTACTTTACTATAGTTCCACCGACCTGGGTTTGATTTAGCTGGGGGAGCGTGGAGTATATGATGTGACCCCACCCTCTTCTCTTTCTGCTTGAAAGTACCCCCAACCTATCGTCTGCAAAGATCCTCTCTGCTTAATCCAAGTGCCATTGGTGGTGTAGGAGAAGGAAGCACCAGCATTCTACATACCTGTTGTGCGGGTTTCTCAAAGCTCCACGCAGTGCTACGCTCCCACAATGAATTTACCTTTCCGCATGGGTTCCATCATGTTGGGCCCACTCATAATACTCTCGCTGCTGTGTGCGAGCGTTGTCGATGCGCTGCATTCGACAGACACAATCACTAGTGGTGGTGATAATACTAGGTCTGGGTATCAACCGTAAGTCTTTCTCCTTCTCATTCTCTAGGTATGAGAACGGGAGTTAATAATGGCATATATGATATTATAGCAACCATAATATGGACCCTGCCGTCGTAGGATCCTCCCAATTTGGTATTATATGGCGCAAGAAACTGAGTGGTCGCTACAACGACTGGAATGGTACGTCTTTCTGCTTTCACTAGTTAATGATGCTAGCTAGTAGTGTCTCTGCTAACTGGCTACATCCAGAACAAATATTTGCGCAGGCACTTGTGTACACGCCCGACGATACCCAGTTCGTCTATGTCGCGTCGCAGCAGAATTGGGTCTACAAGATTGATGCGAAGACGGGTGACATCCTGGCGTCGAGGAATCTGCATATCCCATTCTTAGTCGCGGAGTTAGATAATTGTAATGATATCAGTCAGACCATTGGAAGTACTGTAAGTTTGCCTTTTTGGATATAGAATTTGGAGCTATGGGCGTGCGGGACTGATGTGTTGAGGGTAGGCTACGGGTGTGATTGATCCAGATACAAACACATGGTATTTCACGATGAAGACATATCGCGACCAGACTGGCGTTGAGAAAGGGAGGGCGAATGGAAGATGTAAGTACCTTAATCCCTTGAATTTCCGGGAACAGAGCTGACGGGAGCGGTAGATTATGTTCACGCCCTCGACACAAGAACTCTAGAGGAGAAGCCGAACTTTCCCATTGATCTAGAAGGATTGATCGCGAATAACAATGCAATTAGAATGTTCCAAGGCGGTATTCATCACCAACGGCCAGCGCTCATGCAGAGTGGGCCGTACATTTATGCCGGGTTTGCGTCGCATTGGTATGTTGAGTGGTCTTTCATAGAAAGTAGCGCAGAGGTGCTGATGTTTGGTGTTCCAGTGTGCAATACAACTTCACCGGTTGGATCATTGGCTGGCATGGGACAACCGGCCAGATTGTCGAGAAGTTCGCAACTGAGGGCGGGCCGGAGGACAAGAAGGGAGGTGGTGTATGGATGAGCGGTGGTGGTATAGCACAGGATTCACGTATGCTCTCCAAGTTCATAGCCATTCTATTTTATGGCGAAATTCTAGCGCTAACGTCGTTGGGAAGCCAATCGCATGTTTTTCGCTACCGGAAATGGGTATGCATCCCAGCTCAGCAATATCCCGGTACCGGGAAGAC